ACTGTTTGGCGACAAGATTCTCATGGGCCTCAAATCAACTATAGAAGAACCTCGGTCAAAAGTTGACCCCATCAGCCTTCAAGCAATTGCAAAGATAGAGGCGAGTGTAGAGCTGGGTCCCTTAGTTCAAGCAAGGATCATAGCCATGTTTGGTCAACATCCAGAGATGGCTGGAGTTTATATGGCAATCAGTAATCCTGCACTTGCTCAAAATGTTTTGTTAGAGATGCTTGATCAGAACACATCAAAGAAATGAAAGCTTAAAATTTGATTGAATATATCAAATCTTCACATAATTGAAAGGAGAACTCGGACTCTTTTGTTGACATCATTTGAGATTTTCTAAGATTTCTTAAAATTCCATTTTTCATCCGATCATTTCTTCATTTTGAGACTTTATCTTCGGCCTGTTCTCCTGGCCTCAGCTTGCTTCTCCTTCTGATAGTCTGCCCACATCCTGCTTGCAATCTCATCACGCCATCTTCCTGCATCTATATCATCATTTGTCCCAAGTTCAATTTCATAGCTATCTTCCAAAGTTGAACCAGAGGTACGTGGCAGGGGATTTTCAGACAGGGCTTGGAATTTGGGGAACTCAACTGCAAGTTCACTGCTATCGTGGAGACGGATGAAGTTGTGAATTGCGCACATAGCAGGCACTAGTCGGACTTGAGTTTTGAAAGGATAGTAAGTGCCATGTTCCATGACTGTAAAGCGCTTTTTTGACACCCCAAAGATGCATTCAATCACCATACGTGCACTGGAATGTCTCAGGTTAAAGAGCTCTTCTTTATTTGCTGGCCTGAATTTTGAACACAAGTCAGCATTGAGATTTCAATAACAAGTGGAATTACTTGACATACTCCTTATCTTTTAGCCGGGACCACTCCTGTAAATGGTACCTTACTCCTCGATATGGAACTAAGCATTTCCGGCTGAGACTGAAGCCGGCATCTCCAAGGTAAAACTTGCCTTCAGGAACTACCAAAGATCGTTGGCATGAGTCTTCCCACATTGAGCTATCTGGCATCGTACCGGTGTAGCCTGGCATGACATATTGAAACATCATGTTGAAGTTGGCAGCCGCTAGCACATTCTGACTGAGATTTGATTTTTGGTCACGGAATCAAGCTTGGTCATCTGGTGCCACATGTACTGGAAGGTGCGTTCCATCTATTGCACCCACGCAGTCTTTGAAGTATGGCATGAAGCGTTCATCTGTGCAAAAGGCGAGCGGAAGAGATGTATGCAGTGTGGGCTGTCTAACCAAGTTGGTGTAAAAATCACAATCATTGATGGCATTGAGAACTTTGTGAAAGACACTGCGCGCAGAAATCAAGGATCAGCAATGCTTCAGCCTCCAAAAATCTCAGAGAAATCATCATACCGTGAAATTGTGTCTGGGGACCTTTGAAAGCGTTCCTCGAGTTTTCGGACAGAGTTCCCGGTGATGATGGTGAATAGAAAGATAGCTAACTGCTCTTGAACAGTCATGTTTTTTGTATCTTCAAGAAGCCCTCTGCTTTCCAAATCATCCACCAATTTAAGGAAGATGTGAGGCTTCATGCCCAGCTGATCGTAAAGACGGCGTGGATTATTTGATTCCAAAAGCTCATTGAGCCATTGTTGTCCGGAGAGAACAGAGTTGTTCCGTACAGTTGGCGGTCTACGTTGTAAATACGAGGTGTAGTATTGAGCAGCACCAAAGGATGCCAAGACCAGCAGTCGTCTTTGAGCGTGTCGCTCTGCTCGAATGACTGGCATCTTGGATGCAACTGAGTGAAAATTGTACGAATAGATGAGATAGAACTTTGATCGTTCTTCGATCGATGCTTTGCAAAATTTTTCTATGTACAAAATTACCCCTTCATGAAACCCATGATCTTTGGGTTTCATGAGGGTCAAGTTTGGCCTACCGAACAGCCCGATCTCTCGGTCAACCTGCGAGGCAGACGTTGTCAACCTGCGCATGCGCGAGCATACGCTTGCAAGGCGTACGCCTGCCAGGTTGACCGCAACCGATCGGGCCCTAAGACTCCAACTGAGCCTAAACCTGAGAAACCAACGGGCCCGTTCGGTTGCCATCAACCTCGCAGGTGTACGCTTGCCAAGCGTATGCTCGCGCATGCACAGGTTGACCAGGTCTGCCTCGCGAGTTGTTCAAGAGCCTGTGCTGTTCGGTAACCCAAACTTGACCTTCTGAAACCCAAAGATCATGGGTTTCATGAAGGGGTATAATTCTTGTATACACCATATATTATACATACTAGAAATATTTTGAAAAACATCCAAAACATCGATTGAAGATTGATCGATGTTTTATCTCATCCATTCACATCGATTGACGATCGACTATTCATCTCATCAATTTCAAAGCTGTCAACTTCAATTCATAGGGAAAATTGAAATGAATGAGATTAAACAAACAATAGAAATATGCTTGCTCAAAAGGGATCACCAATTTCCTCCCTTGTGCATTTGACCCAAAGGAAAACTGAATGAATGCGGTTGTAATTCAATATTTAGGGTATTCAAATATGGTTCTGGAAATTTCCAGAAGTATATTTGAATACCCTAATTGAGGTCTAGTGAACAACTTGATACCTTTTATCTTAGCTCTGGTAACTGTATCAGTTATATCACCTTGAGGGAAGAGACTACGAGACTCGAGTACGCAATCGGTCATTGAAGGAAGCCAAGTCTATGGCAGTAGGCAGGTCAACCTGCGAGAATGTAGCAAAACGGCCAACCTGACAGGTTGACCGATTTGGCTGGTAGACCTGAGAGGCGTACGCTTCACCCTTTTTGAAAAAGGGCGTACCGAACGGCTCAACACCCAGGCGTACGCTTCAAACTGCCTTGGAGCGTACGCCTGAACTTTTGGCTGGGTCAACCTGCGAGGTTGACGGCAACCGAATCCCACCAAACCAACTACTCCTACGACTCCCGACAAGCCAACCACTCCTAAGACTCCGGAGAAGCCAACCACACCTACCAAGCCTGTGAAGCCAACCACTCCCAAGACCCCGGCCTATCCTACCAAGCCAGAAAAGCCTGAGGAGCCAACTAAACCCAAACCCGCCAAACCAACTACCCCAGAGACTCCAACCAAACCTACGACTGACGTACCCAAGTACCCTACCCCTCCTAAGACTCAAACTAATCCGAGTTACGAGCCAAAAGTTGTAGTACCTACTTAACCAAACAAAACAGTCAAAACTCCTGCTTACTGATTAAGTGATCGATTTGATTCGATTTCTAAGTATGTTGTAAAAACTAACAATTTGTTTACCTACAAAATTATCAGTTGTTTTTCTTATCTCTCTTGTGTTTTTTTGTTAACCACACTTTGATTATCGTATTATAGTATATCTTATGTTACTCAAAGAAGTATTCATCGTATCTTGATTTATGATATAAAATTTATATGGTTTTCTGAAATCTTGTTGACTAACACACACTCTCTTTTGTTGATATTGATTTTTTTTCTTCTTCTTGACCTTGAAAAGAATAATCATCATTAACCTGAAAAGTATTTGTCGAGATAATCGGACCGATTGAAAAACCTTTTAACTTTGAATTGGATTTGAGCATTAACCAAAAGTGAAGATTTGTTTAACTGTTTACAAGTTTCTTTTTAATCTCACTCTCATTACCATTTATGAAGTCCACAATCTAAAGTATAAGTCCTTTTATTCCCTTGAACTTTTCAAACTCGTAATTGGTCCTTTGAAACGTCCTGTCCGATTCGAATCTTTGCACATATCATTGAAACCGATAAAAATGAATCCCATGACTTCTCGCATTCGAGAAAAAAAACATTCCTCAACGCGATCACACTTTGTGCTCTTGCAACTTGAGAACTGCAAAGTTGAAATTGTTTCCGTTCATCTTCAACGCACCAAAAGAATGGGCTTGGAGTACCTGGGAATCGAACCCAGCGCCTCTCGCAACCTTTGAAAGATGCTAAGCGAGCGCTCTACCGATGAGCTAGAACCCCGATGACGTCGTTTACGTAAATAGCTGATTCGATCGCTGGTCAGGATATCGTTAAAGGCGTTGGGTTGGAAGGTTGAGAATGAGCGTTGAAGAATTTGTTCAGAATGGAATTCGTATTCAGATGAGGAGTTGTGTAAGCTGAAAGAGAATTTTTAAAAGTGTGTTTGAAGTGAAAGTTGTCCCGGTATGGTACCCGTCAACGAACGATGTATGACATGAGTGGTGTGTGTCAAGGTCAACAAGAAACGAAGAAAGTAAACGAGAAAGAAAGTCAGGATGCCATTCAAATCAAATCATCAATCATCCAATTCACCATTCACTATCTCAAAACCAATCAATCAATCTCATCAAACCAACCCATTACCTTTATATTTTGATAATTTAGATTCATTAGACTTCTTTTTCAAAAACAATTCAATTCAACCTTCAAATCGAAATCATCAATCAAATCAAAATCAAACCAATCGATCAAACCATTCACGTATCTTAATAGCTCATGATTTTAAAGTAAATTCAATTCACATCAACTCAATCATAGGATTCCATATATTTACTACCTGTTTTTAATCTTTTTTTGGGTGGGGGTTAGGGAGGTTATAATGATTCACCTTCAGATCAAAGGACTTATACATTCGAATGGTTTTCATACATAGACACGTTCATCTAGTTGGTTTCTTTTTACTTTGATTGTTTTAAACCGAATCCAAGTGTTTGAAGTTTTCTAATCATTGATGGTTTTTGGACTTAGTTTTTCTCATCATCGAATCACCATTCCTCCACCTGATTGGATCACAGCTGCAAAAACTCAGTTTAGTTGACCATTCTCCAAAACCTCTCTACAAACCTCATCTGATTTTTCTTGGGGGTTTGTAGTCATACATCTATTCTTGGTACTTTAATCTTTGAACATCAAACATCATTATCAGATCTAGAATTACTTTTAACCGGTCCAAAGAACTCACCAATCCCAACCCATCAATATTTTATAAACTTGAAACCTATTAAAGGTTATGAACCTTTGAATCAAATCTCAACGTATTATGCAGATAGATTGATTGATTTAGCTTTATATTTTGGATTTCATGGTTGGTTATTGAATTTTGAAATCGACCTGATCAAGTCTTTGGATACTCACTCAGCTAGGTTATCGGGTCGGATTGCTAAGGCTCTTAGGATTTGGGTGGAGTATTTGAGATTAGAAGGGATCAAAAGAGTCGGTTCAAGTTGGGAAGTTTCTTGGTTAGTTTGGAATTCCAATCGTCTTGATTGAATTGATCTTGACATTGATTTGATCTATGTGTGTGTGATTGGTTAGGTATGATTCATTGTCTCATGAGAATGGAAGTTGTCAATGGAGATCAAGTTTAGATATCAAAGATAATCTGTTTTATTATGCTGCTGCTACTTCGATTTTTTTAGATTATCATTGGAATTTGAATTCACCAAATCAAACCTTATCGATAATTTCAAAACTTCAAGAAACCATTAATTCAAAACCATCAAAGGAAGAGAGAAGTTCAAGTATAAATCTTGGTGATGATCTTTTAAAATCGTTTGGAAATAAAGAAAAGATTCGACTTGAGAATTTAAAAACAAATGTGTATTTTGGTGTAGATGTGTTTGGTCGAGGTTGTATGTATGGAGGAGGATTTTCAAGTTGGAAAGCTATTGAATTAATTCAAAATCAATATGATTTTAGTATTGCACTTTTTGCACCAGGTTGGACATGGGAATCACATCATTTAGATCCGATTCGATTAAAATCAAAAGATTGGTGGAAATCTTGGTGGGAAGAAGAAAGGTTTCAATGGGTTGGAATTTCAGATCTGAAAGCTAAACAACTTGAGAATAGTTTTGTAGATGGTTGTAGGATTTCGAAAGAAGCTAAAGAAAAGGTTTTACCTCAGAGAGGTACTAGTGATAGTGAATTTCCTCAACATTTACCGATTTCTAGATTCTTTAATCCTTGGAAAAGGTTACCTAAGCTTGATCTTCCAGATTGGTTTTATACAAATTATTCTTTAGGAAGTGGAGGGAATGGGTTTTGGATTGAAGGATCGAATTCTTTGGGAAATCAAAACACTTGGACTGATATGTCATTTTGTTTTCCTAAGAATGATCTTTCTATTAATGAAGCAAGTAGAAGAGAGAATGGAAACCAACCATTTGTGAAACGGTTAGGAAGTTTAGTTTGGTGCGAGAATGTAGAAGATGTAGGTTGGTTTGGAAGTGGTTCGATTAAGATTGAAGATCAAGATGTTGAAGAAGATCAGTTTAAGGGATCGGTTGGGTTGGTTTGGATGAATACTTTACCGGTGATGATTAATGGGGGTGTCGAATGTCGAATGGTATGGAAATCAAATGAAATTGAAAGTCAAGAAAATGGATCACTTGGGATTGTTTTGGATCTTGATTTGATGGAGAAGAATGATGAGAAATCGGATAAGAAGATTGGATTTGAATGTTATGAATGTTTGATTGAATTGATTGGTTTAGGAATCGATTTAGTGAAAGTGAAAGATATTAAAGTTGAAAAGTTAAAGAATGGATGGAATGAAACGAGTTGTAAATTAATTGGTAATCAATCAGATTTAATGTATATCAAAAGGTTTGGGATTATGGTTCAATCTGGGAAGAGATTTCAACATCATTTAGGTGAAGTAGCTGTTTGGCCGATTTCTAATTCCAGAAGAAAAGAAGAAGAAGAAATAATTGAAGTGGAATTTGATCAAGTTCATCAAGTCTTAAAATGGATTCATGAACCTAGATCTGATTTGATTGTTATTCAATATTTGGTTTATTTGGTTTACGAAAGTTTGAATGAAATTCAACATGAAATCTTTTTGGGTAGCGTTAGGGATGGGTTTTTGAATGTCAACAGACATGAAGATCAAGGAATGAAAAGATTATATGAATTTGAACTTGGGGATTATTTGATACAAAGTATGATTGATCAACATCAACATCAACATCAGAAGAAGAAATGGGTAGTTTTGAAAAGAGTAGAGATTGATGGAAGTTTAAAGGTTATTAAGATGATTGAAATTTAAGGAGTAGATTGATGTATCTTTTATAACTCCTCAAGTGACTGACCTTGAACCGATTTAGAATGAAGATATCAGGGGATCTTCTTTGGTTAAAATTCAGTTTAGCTCATTTGGTTCTGTTGTAATATAATGATTATCACAAGGTTTGTAAAAAAACAAAAGCAAAAACATTTTTCTTACTTTAAAAATATTTGGTTCTTGAAATTAAACAACATAATGATTACCAAAAATGAATAATATTTTCGTTTGGTAGGAATGCGTCTTGATTGATTTTGATGAATTGGTTTGCTTTCAAGGTGACTTTTGAAAATAAAGGTTTGGTAAAACTTTGATAGTTTATATTTTGATGTTCGAAGCCGTAAATCAAATTGTCATGTATATGGATTTCGAAGGCTTGATTATTATCATTCATTGATCCAAAGTGATGCAGTCGGTTGAAGGGATATGAAGAGTACAGCAATATGAAACAGTGGAATTGGTGAGCTGATAGACTGTGATCTGCCCTCTTTCAGCCGAAGAAGTTTTCAAGACGAACAAGATATACAAAACTGACCCAGTACTACTCACATTTCTCTGCTATATTGTTGTTTACTCAGTCTCTATTTACTCAATTGGCAGAAGAGCGGGTTGCACACGAGAAACTGACACACCACCTTCACTGAGGTACCATGTGTGCTACAGCAGAGAAGAGCAAGGAGATTGAAAAAGATGAAGGATGATTTAACGTGCGTAAAATTATATGCTTTACATTTTCTATGTATTTTGATTCTTTTTTTCCGATCGATCTTTATGTGTCTCTCCAATTGAACTGCTGTCTAGTTTCTCTTGAAGACTTTGTTTAATCACGTTAGGTTGTGTTGCATTTCATACAGTGCAGTTTACTATCGAGTCTTTTCAGCCCCCTTCGCCATGATAAACGCGACATACAAGGGGGAGCTCGTGATCATAATGTTTGCGACTTTTTTTGCTGTCATATTGATAATGCTTACTTCATATCCCTCATCATTTTTTGTTAATGCTGGAAAGTACTGTCATCACGGTCGGGAAAAGCATCACAATAAATATTCTGCACGGCTTTTACGATTGTTTGCATTCAAAATTATTTTTGGTTCGATGCTTATCAGCATCAGCATCAGCATCAGCTGCAGTATTTAAATCATCTGGACGGCCTCATCGTGGGCCGAGCATTCATCCCTCAAACCACGCTTCTGCCAAACTTACTTCCGCTTAACGCTTTTTTACATCTTAACCAACCTATCACCTTTCGATATCCACGTGTTATTATTCTATCATGTCCAACAATCAATCCACTAGCAACACATCCAATCCTACTCATCTTATAAATGCTGAAGAGGATTCTCACAATCTCTATCCACATAGTTCCAAAGACATCGTATTCTTAGAGAAGATTGGTTCGGGTGGCTTTGGTACAGTTCATAAAGCCGAATCCAAGACTCTTGGAAAGGTATGTGCAGTCAAAGTGATTAAAAAAGCAAATCTAAGTGAAGAGGATCAGAAATTTATAGATACTGAACTTGATATATTAATTGATTTAGATCATCCGCACATTTGTAGAGCTTTAGGTTATTGGGAGGATTCTCTAACTTCTAACATCATCTTCGACTTCGAATCCGGAGGAGATCTTGCCCATTTACTCAAAAACTCTATTATCACCGAGAATCAAGTAAAAAGATTTATATCCGATCTAGGTAGCGCTTTAGATTACATTCACGGGAAGAACATTATTCATCGCGACATTAAATTAGAAAATATACTCTTGACAGAAAACAACGTGATCAAACTTACAGATTTTGGACTCGCTGCCAGAGGTTATTATGGATTAGCTTTTGGTGACTATGGTACTCCACATACCAAAGCACCCGAAGTTCTCACTCAATACTCGTACACCAACGCTGTAGACTGGTGGGCAGTGGGAGTCATTTTGTACCAATTGACCTTGAACAAAGACCCATTTGAAGCAAGTAAGTTGTTCTCCTTTCTATAAATCTTATCCTTTCTGATAGTTTGATTACTTATTGACTTTATCTATTTTTCTTCCTTTTGATCCTTTAGCTGATGAAAAAACTTTGGAAGAAATTATCGTCAATTCTAGAGTAAAAATTCCTTTGTCTATTCCTTATCCATGTTATTCCCTGATTGGTAAACTTTTACAAAAGAATCCAGAGTTGAGGTTAACTTCTTACCAGGCTTTGACTTCACATAAATATCTCGAGGGTGTCTAGTTTGATTTTCTTGATAATCTCATTAATCAATTGTGTAGATAACTGTAAATCTTTCTTATCATAATCCTGGTCGAACTGTGTTCAATTTTATATACGATGTCATTTCAGTATCCTCTTTTTACTTTAATCAGGATCTCTTGTGTTTTATTACCCGGAGATCGTTATATTACTAGCTTCCTCTCTTTCTTTGACAAAAATGCTGAGTCTTCTTTGAAAGATCTCATCTTCAGTTTTATCCTTGTGGACCCATAGCCTCAAGGTGGTCGGCGGAAATCTGATTGGTTGTGACTTTGGGATAGAGCTACTTGAAGGCGGCACATCCAAAGGATGTAAGTCGTTTGAACCATCGGGCGCAGTAACATATATCTGCCCTTATTCAACTTGCTGGGTTCAGAGTGAGTATTTTCTCAAACTGATCATGATCACCTTTGATATTTAATCTTAGCTGTTTTGAAGGCATTTAATGATCTCAGATAATCAGTGGACTTTGTTAACGCAATGTCAGTTCCAACATTCGCCGGACAAAAGCTATAGTGAACTAAATTGCGCTGAATACACTCGCCAAGCATCCAGGGTCTATATCCCAACTCTCAAGTTTTCCAGCCCTCATAAAATCATTGATTTGAGGTTTATTCTTGGACACTCATGAATAGGTGATATTTAGCTTGTAAAATCCAGGACATGTACCTTTTAACGTGTTACTCTTATACTTGCCCTTCCAATGCCATCAGTTGGTCATATTTCCTCATCAATCAAAAGAATACATGACTGAACATCGCTTGTTGCCTCTGTTAGGTTGTGACAAGTGTCAAAAGAAGTGATAGATAAAAAACAGAAGGCTCAAGCACCTCAAGGGCTTCATTGTACGAAACCGAAACTCTGCGAGAATCAACCTCTTTTGGTGAATTCGGTTTTTTAAAATCTTAATCCATCTTCCATTGAAAAAGAACCCCCTCAAAAACCCTTCAAAGTATTATATTTACAATGTTGGATCCAAACCAGATCATCAAAACAAAGCTTTCATTTAATTCCGATTTTGATATTTTGAAAATAAAACTACAGAAATCGGTAATTCAAATGATAATCTATACATTGTTTTATGAGGTGCAACTTTTCTAACAAAACTTAATTCAAACTGTTTAACAGAATTTGAATTAATTTCAAATCGAATCGATTCACTTGCACGCTAAAAAAAAGAAGTCCAAAAAAAAAAGAATTTTAAAAATGAAGAACAAACCCATCAGTTTTCTTCGAATGTTTGAAATTTATTTATTTTTTCGGAAAAAGAAAACCTTAAGGATTCACTAACCTGACAAATATCTTTTTCAGCTTCGATTCCTTCTTCTGATTTCGTAAAACAATAAGCATGTACCATAGGTAATGAACTTTTAGAAATCTCTTCTTCAAACTCATTACCAAATCTTTCTAATAATGGTTTATAAAGATCTACATAAGCATCTAAGAAAGTTAAGGTTAATTCAGGTAGATTCATCACGAAATGAGACACCAATCGACGTGGTTCTTTTGAAGTCTCAATCTTGGGTACTACTGGTGCGGGTGTTGGTACGGTAGGTTGTCTTCTTGAAAGTTTAGGTTGAGGTGGTGGAGGATCAAAGAATGGATTATTCCAAAGATCTATCACTCCATTTCTAATCCGATCACGAGCATCACCAAGTCCGACTCGAACCAAATCATTCAATCGATTGATCTTCACATTTTGGTTTAAAGCTTCAACGGCTGATGGATTTAAATCACTTGCTATAACAAAACAAGATTGATTACGTGCAGCTTGGATTGCGAATGGTCCAACGCCTGCGAATGCATCAAATAAGATTTGATGAGGTTTCAAATATGTGGTGACTAGTTTTGAATGTTCGGTTGATAATCTTGGATTGTAATAAACTTTTGAAAAATCAAATTCGAATCGACAACCTGCTTGTGACTAAAAACAATCAATTCAAACAAATTGCTTGGATTAGAAATAGATCGTTTTTGGGCTTTTTTTAGCACAAAAAATTAACTGGATTTAGGGAAAAACAGATTGAAAAATGAAAGGCTTTCTTGAAGGATCACGGACGAGAGAGACTTGATAATCTGGCTCACCGGCCATTAAATCCATCTGAAAGAACCTGAATTGAGAATTAATTGTATCTAATTTATTCACGACGGTCCTAATTGGAATATTTTTCTGTGAGATTTCAAACACAGAATTGAATAATTGATCAGAAATGGATTCAAGAATTGTAAGAAAATGTGAGTATGTAGGGGGTCTGACCTCTAGAATGATTTCACCAATTAGATACCGATATGGGATATATTCTTTTCGAAGATTAAAGTGGGCTGAAAAAGAAGAAAGAAAAGTTAGTATGAAAATTGAGAGGAGAAAGCGAGAAAGGTAAGTACCAATATGACCAATCATGGTGAATGAGCTTGGAACTTCTGAAAGAAGTTCTTCTGGTAAAAGCCGTTCGATGATTTCCTCTGTTTAAGGGATGATGAATGATGATCAGATGACAAAATTCAATAAAGCAAAATTGTGATTGAAGATTAACCAGCTTGATAATAACTCCAATCGAGATCTAATTCAAATTTTCGAAATTCAAACCCAGATTGATTGAAATGAGCGAGAGCCGTCGGAGGTAGGTTTTCTTAAGATAATCAAAGCATCAATTAGCATTCAGTGTAGAATTGTGATAGATGAAATTCAAATGCTCAAGAACGAACCTGTTTCTGATGAATTGAGTAATAATAATTTATGAGATTGATCACTTGAAAGTGGATCTAACCTCACTGAAGCTAAACCTTTTGCCGCCAAAATAGCACTAAAAACCAATCAACTTCTTAGCGTTCGATTATTATTTTTTCGAAACAAAAAAAGAACAAAATGAAGTAAGATTGACAAACGATTTAGTGAGTGGATTAGATTTTAAATTTGAGATTTCTTCTGCTTTAATTTTGATAGCAAGTAAAGGTACTTTGATTCGAAATTGATTTTTAATTTCATCTGTTAATGTGATTTGATTTAATGAACCTGTTGATTGATCTGGATTTATTAATGGTAATCGTTTGATATGATTCGGTGGTGGAAATCGTGTAGGGGTTGACATTTTGATTGAAGATGTTATGATTTGTTGTAGTTTGGTTAAATGATAGTTCATTTATTTTGAACAGCTTTGATGGTCGGTCGATCGGTTGGTTTGATTCCAATGAATGTCCCGATGATGGTTATGTTGATGATGAATCTGGTATTATCGTCAGACTAAGGCTGTGAGTTGATTGAGAGTTAATGATTAATAAATTTCCTTCATCACCGATCGGGTTGAAGCTGAGACTGCGAATAAATTTGTAGACAACCCAAAACTGAAATTCCTCATCCGCCATGCTCAGCATTTAGTACATGTATGCGGTTCACAACAATCTTAATTCCGTGTATGTACTCCTAACTCCGGGTCGGGTCTGAGTGGGATCCGATGTTCGTCAGCTGAAGTCTGAAGCCTGCCCTTGCGATGGGTATTGATTTAGCAGCCTGATGACTCATGAGTCAACATATTCAACCATGACCACCACCGCAGAACTAGAGGAAGACTTCCTGTTTGACCGACAACTCATTCCTGATTCTATCAAAGAAGCACTCGGCTCTGATTATATCGTGAGCCCTGCTACGTACTATGTTTGACTTGGTTATCAGGCGAGATGAACCACTTCGCACGAATTACATATTTGTTTGGCTTTCGACCTTTTCTCACAGATCCGCCCACTTTCGAAGACAGACCATGGTCGTTCTCACCTAGCCCTGCTGGCAGGTTTGACTTCCGCTCCTGACACTGGACTAGCGGATTATCAAAAGCGTTTTGAGCTACTTCGTTCGATCAACGCTGCCACCCCAGCTACTCCGACTTACGCAACTGTTTGTATCATCAACTGCTCTACCGATCGGATGGTTGGTTGTGGTACTCTAGTGCTAGAGCATAAATTTATTCGAGCCGGTGGAAGTGTCGGACATATTGAAGATATTGTCGTTGATCCTACGGTGCGAGGCAAAAGTCTCGGTAAACGTATTATCGAAGCCTTGACGGGCATCAGCGAAAGGCTAGGAGCTTATAAAACTATCCTGGACTGTAACAAAGACAATATCGGTACGTGAACTCGGTTGTGGATCTCACATCTTTCACATCACCCACCTTGACTTTATTTGAATCTTTGATCACAGCGTTTTACGAGAAATGCGGTTATGTACACAAGGAATATGAGATGGTTCGATATACGTCACCAGAGATTGTGGAGAAGTACAAACGAAAGTCATGAGATGTCCCTTTGAATATCTTAGTCTGTTATTTGTAATGAACAATGATCCTGTCTTGAGCTAGGCCGATGTTTGAAGTGGTTTGAAATGTATACTTCAATCGCGCTCTCAGTCCCACGTCCGATGAGTTGGCGCGTCGAAACACCAAGATGACTTGGGTCACCTTACCTACAAGGGGCTGCAGACGCGTAGACCAAGACAAGTATGATGTTTCTCTTGCATACATGCTGCAGTCCTTTCAAGGATGTTGATGGTGCTTCCGAAAGCCAACCGCTATGCAACTCTTCTGGGTTGAGTTACCATTATGATGGGGCAAATTATATATCAAGATCTCGGACGACTCCCATACCAGCCTGATTGCGCTGACCCAAATAGCTCATGCAGGTCTGGCACATTTCATCTCGGATTCCACTGAAGCGGAAGATGGGCTTTTCGAACGTCAAGTGCTTCACATTTACCGAGACCCAAAACCAAAGATTTGATCGACAAGGCGGTTCGACGAGTGCTCTTGTCAGCTCGCATAACCAAACATTCACGCTTCCGTGTAATTCGTCATGCAATGATCTTTGTGCCTTTGTACAATCTTGTTAAAGTATCTTGCTGAATGCTGAACCCTCGTTGAGCTCAGTTACCACATTTTCCCATCACAGAAATACTCATCACGTCGCCATCATCAGCAGGTCGCCTGAAATCTGTATTGTTTCCCTCACCTGAAACAAGTTGGTTCAGAATATCTCGCGATGAATGACGAGAATTCGAACCTGTGCTCTACGATTGAGTTTGCTAAGAGGCTGGCCAAGATCGACGCCGACGACATCTCACATTCTACCAATCGCAGCGAGAGGACAAGTCTGTCTTCCCGCAGATCAAGCCTTGCTCCCAAACCACCACCAAAGCCGCCACATCTTCATTCGGTTTCCTCACGCGCTGACATTAGACAACCTTTGCGAGAGACCTCAGCTCTGCGCCGCTCTGTCGAAGTCGATTGGCTGAACCGAGACGCGAATCTGGAAGGCGATCACAAAGTCGAATCCCTTAAAGGCCAAGGATGCTTTCCACAAGAAAGCGTGGATATTCATGACACTTTCAAGTCAACACGCTCGAGAAGGAAGATGTTTGACGATTCGACATTCAACGATGAGAACCAAAAGCTTACATCTCAACACAGCACCAAATCCGACATATCAGTCGAATTTGGACTATCCTCTATGTTGGCAAAATATCAGAAACCGGCGAGTTCTGCTTGGAAACACCTCTCTTCAGGTAGTATCGGGTACGAGCAAAAATCGAACGATCATAGTTCCCCTTCCTCTACCATCAAGGCACCATCTAGCCGGAATAAAATTGCCGATGTACGCACGATATATACTCATCTTCAACATACCAGCGTCCCACAGTCTCGTACCGAATATCCGCTTCTAGATGATGCAAAGGAAGCTCAATTACTTGAGACTGAATCAATCACCGTACTGCAAGCAATAACCAATGGAAGCTTTCTCTCTGATGATACAAAAGCTCAACAACTCTCTACACCATCCACAAGTTCTGGAGCTCGGCCGAGTTCCGACGAGCGAAGCAGCGCGGGTAAAAAGGAATTTGAAGAGACCATAGACGCACGTTCATGGAAAGTGCAGAGTGGAACCGTTGAAAGCAACTTGAATGATTCAAGGGAGTCTTGTTCTCTCGATATGATTGACCCGCGATTATTGTCATCTTCATCCATGACCACATCTACATATTGTACGGAGAACCAGCTTTCAGTACCTTTGGATATACGCTCACTCGAATCCACTCAAAGCCTCAGTCAAGACACGGGTCCGTCGATAGTCGACAATGAGATACAAACTCGAGACGTCGAATCGCATGCAAGAGCCGTTCCAGAAGAATCCGGACGAATCGCGGCTCAAAGTGCACGAAATCATCTCGGGACTAGAAATTCATTGAGTGGACCAAGAATCCTGTTTGATGTATCTGAAGGAAAAGAAACGATGCGAGGTCAGGTGAGTTATACTTGGTGTTGAATTGTCACTTGAGCATTGTGCAAATATGATGCAGAGATTCATGCCTGAAGTTTATGAAAAACCTATGATTATCGCATGAAAAAGATTTCAGACAGTCTTTTGGACGTAAAAGCGATATCACCCACACAAATAGACAGTGCTAATTTCGGGGATACATCTTCACGTGAGTTATTTTGTAGTATGAAGAGCTATGAGTATCACAGTACCAGCATAAATTAAGCCGATTTGCCCACTGAACTTTAGCCACACAAAATAAAGCCGGAGGATACGATCTCGAAACCGATCCTGTTCCTGACATCAATACCAAAGGGATTGAACAATCATCAGAGGACGTCACTCCACATAAGCATATACCGAATCCATCGATCAAAACCTCGAATCTGCTCGAAAGGGCGCCACAGTCTCCATCAGCTTTTGATGGCTCCCCCGTACATTTAGCAACACCCAAAATGTCTCGCAAAAGAACTATGTACCATGCTGGAGAAAGTCCGGTAAGCAAATTATGCTCACCGGTTGCCGATCCGTCAGTTTCTGTTACCAAGGACGTCGGCGCGATCTTTAGAACATACGGCATGAGTGGTACAGCCTGCTCAGTCACTGCATCAGACGCGATTATTGCAGCTCGTGCGAAGGCACTTCCCGATATCCCAAGAAAGAATATCCCCAATAACCAGCAACGTACAGGTCGTGGTAAAACCTTCTCCTGGGCGCCGATTTTCCAAGGCAAGGATCCAGAGGCTTCGGTTGCGCAAACTTACATCCTTGAAGGCCCATCAGAAGATCAATCTAATTCTTTAGACCAACGCATCGATGTATCTGAGGGAGAAAAAGAGAGGTACGAGATCGGCTTCGGACCTAGATGGAAGTCGACAGGCCCTCTTTTCTGTGTAAAAGTCCATTCTCCCGAGACACGTCGAGATCAATCAAACACGATCCACACTGTATACGCTATCACTTCCAGCTTTGTCTCTGGTCAAGAAACTCCCGCTCTCGAAGTGACGGTTGATCGAAGGTATTCGCATTTTGAGAAACTCGCACTCATCTTGCAAGAGATTTACGGAGAAGTCTTAGTACTTCCGAACTTGCCAGAAAAGAGATTTGCGGGCAGGTGTAAGTGGTGCAGACTACCGTTTCAAACCAAGTGTTCAAATTCTAATGAAGATCTCACACTGACTGTGAATTCGAACGGCGCATTTATTGATACTTTCATAGTCTCGGCTCAGTTCATCGAGCTAAGGCGAAGCGGATTGGAAAGATATCTTACTCGACTGATACGCAACCCAGTATTACGATATTCTCATTTCATCACAACATTCCTTGGTTGTGAAGATGATGAGGTGAGCCACACGAGTCCACGCGCTTCCTTGTGATTGTGTATCAGAGGCATACCGATCCAAGTTGCTAGAGTCGATCAAGCTGACGGTACACAAAATCATCTCTTCTTACAGGAGTTCGAGAAACAGGCTGCCGAATGGAAGGATCTAATAAAGGCCGTTGACGTTATATCGACAGACCCTCATCCTCAAAATTCACACATCCCAGCCATCCAATTCTTCTCTAGGGTCTATCATCCTGATTATAATGTCGATCCCATCGACACTCATTACGCTATCGGGGCCTTCAGTAAACATATACGTTCTCTTGAAGTAGGGAGGGGTATAACTAATGTAGAACAGAGCTTCACAAAAGTTAGAGCGAATATGCAAGGTGGGTAATATTTTTATGACCTCTTTATATTCTCAGCTTTCAAGATAGTCAATGAAAGTAATCCGAATAAATCCTTTTTTGAGCAGATTTATCTACCAATCTACATGATATGTCACAAGAACTGAATCGGCTAGCCGCAGGACTAGCTTTACCTTCTCGAAAACTTGAGTCGAATGATGACCTCCATCGTAAAGATGAATCTGATGAAGAAGAGGAAAATAGGGTTCAGGTAGAATCGAGTCTTAAATTAAGCTTTCAAAAGGACGACAACTTCCATGAAGAAAACACTGTGGCCCCATTTTCTGAAGAAGCATTGAAGACTTTGAGACGAAAGGGACAAAACGCACGACTTCAAAACTCGGAGGGCGCCTTATGCTGGAAGAAAAATTGTCAAGGTGCGTGAATTGACGCTTAGTTGAGAAGGGCAGACTTTGCGTCACAAACTCTGATATCACTCTTTTTTAATTCAAGATTGCTTGAGCATGACAAAGGCTTTACAATTGATGGGACAAACGATTGAGGAAATTTCTAGGTCCTATTCTATTAGCGGTGTAGACCAATTGGCGCCAGTGGAAGCATTGTTGAAAGAGATATCCTGTCCATTAACAGATTACCATGTCAGTATTTTTAAAATGATGTCCATCTTACCTGGTCAGATACTCACAAATTGTATCATTTGATCATCAGACCTTGTGTAAATTAGGCGTGTCTGTTGAGATTGATGAGACTCTTGAAACAGAGCAGTCTCAAGATGAAGTTGAAGATCGAAGGGACACCGTCCTAAATGTGATAATGTGTGAGATTGACAGACATCATGAGGAACGAAATCAAGATCTACGAGACATTTCTGCTCGTTTTGTCGACTCTCAACTCCAATTACATCACCAGGTGCGTGAAATCCTAAGCCACTGCTAAATCTAGACAACTAATTCTGTTTCATCCTTTTGCACTTGAATCAAAGGCTTATACAAAGTTGCAGGAACTCAAGAATTGCTTCACAGAACCTGAATATACCCGACTTGGAACATCAGGTCCTCGAGCACCAAATTCAGAAGAAAGAAGGTTATTGGCAGAAGCTGCGAAACATCAAACATCAAATACTATGTTGGATTGGGTTCAAAGTGCAGTCAATCGACCACGTGCTCTAAGCGTGACTAGTAACAGTACTGCTCGCTCAAATGCTTTATCAACCATCTTTACACAGCCTGTCTCTGCGGCAGTCACATCAGTCATGGGTCTGAGGAATTTGTTTCATGGATCGGGGTCTTGAAGAGGTTTTTCAATATTGGAGGAACAATAGATGAAAATTCAACGCGTTAAGAAGGTGCTAGGTGACGGAGTACAAGATGCTAGGCTTTGAACCATTTCAGAACATTGTGTTGATATGTAATTTTGACCAATATGAAAGAATTCTTGGGAGCGGGTTGACTCAGTATTGATCAAGATCTTGGAAAGTTGTCATCATTAGTCTATTTTGTGTGCGGGTCGTATCAGGTGTTTGAAAGTCTTGTATATATCTGCAAATCCTATCACAAAGCAACTTCTATGGAGGGTGGGCTTAGACGAGTATGAGGATGAGAGCCACCCGCCATTCCCTATGTTTTAGGGATTTAGTCTACCTGTCCAGTGTGCAGATTGCTCTACCCATCTCAACATGTGAGATCCCTCTAAACTTCTCTCCTTATTATACATTTACGCTTTTAGGAGTTTCCAACGAGTCAAGGATGTGAAATGGAAGCAGAAATATGCTCGAGTTCGTGAATGCTCTTCACGTTCACAGAGCCATCATCAACATAGAGCACAAAAACCGGAACCAGCAATCGTTCTGTACTCAAAAGTAGGCTCTGATGGGCACGATATACGTGCAGAACAAACCCCATCAAGGCGAGAAATGCAAGAAATGACAACTCTCTTACATCACGAGAAACAATAGGTTAGGCGGATTCCAAACACGGAATTACTCCAGCCAATTAGTCAGTGGTACAAAGTAAGCACCTAGAACTATGTTCAAATCACGCTTTCAATTCAAGATCACATTCCCAACGTAAGATCAAATTTAAGTCAAGGGAAATCAGGATTATATCACAAGATAAAGATTGACTTGATGATGAAACCCAAGAGATGATTATACTGTAAAAAAAAGATGAAAGAAAACTCTCAAAAAAAGAAAAGAAATTTTATCCAAATTCCTTTCTTTGTTATCCCTTTAGCGCAACTAGTTACAAATCAATTTACTGACTTTAGAAACACAAGGTGCTCGGTTTTCTCGATGGATACCTTGCTGTGCTTATTGTAATCATATGCACAAAATCAAGTGCTGTTGTAACTACAATATCACCATTCAAACAGTTCTTGCCAATTTATGCCACTTGTGGATCTTTCTTAGAAGAGATTTCAACTGAGGCAAGGCCTCCGGTATAAATCAAAATAGCGCATGTGAAGCCGTATCGATTGAATTTCGAGTGCATACACACTTCGAATTCACTACATACAACAAGAGATGTCCTGCTTTCCTTCGAACTCATCAATCCATGTATTATTCACCTTTGTGACCTGTGAGCAGTTCGAAATGTCATAGTGACTACGTTCTTGATGCACAAACCATCATCCACAGAAAAGGTTTCCTATATCCTTTTAACTTTAAGTATGGACCAAAAATCACATTCTTTTTGATTTTCTTTTTAACAGTTCTTAGTCATATATTAGATAAAGTTGAAGATTAAACCCCACTACTACATACCCATAAGCTTATCATGTGGAGCTTATCATGTGGTTATGATGGATAATCCAACCAGATGAAGCAGACATGATGGCTGATTCCAGGTCATGTGATGTGATAGTCCAAACCTGGTCTCGTGAACTTGAATGACCAAGCCTGGAGAAGTTGACCCTTTGCTTCTTTACCAAAACTGTAATCTGAATTTTATCACTTTAATGAATTTTCCTGACCCAATTGGTATTCAGAAGACCGCCAATCGATTGAATTTTCCAACTCTGACTTTTTATCAAGAATCAATTAATAGAATTCTTCAAGTTGAAGAGAAATACGCTCGGATGATGATAAGGGAAATCCAAGTGAGTTTCAAGTGTTTATGAGCAGAGTGTGACAGTTTGATATGTGTAAGTGATGAGTTTGATATTTTTAAATGCAAGATGGATGATGAGATGAGTGAAGTTGGAATGCTCAAGAATGAAGTTTAAGAATCCAAGAATGAAATCATCATCTATAGGGTTTCATTCTCAAAAGAGTAAACGATCAAATGAGAAAGTGATTCTGAGAAATCGAATGGATCGAATCAAAAGTGAAAAGTGGTAACTACATATGTACCTGATGTGAATCCATAAAGCTGCGGTTCATCACTCTTTACGTATCAAATTGAACTTCAAAGTACCCTTCAAACCCCTTTTGTCCTTCTTCACCTTCATCATCATCATCCAACTTCTCATCCTCAACTTGGATCTTCATTCGATTCTCAATCAAAATCACCTCTTACTCGCAATAACACAACTCAATCCAATCAAAAGCTGGTCTTTAGTCTTCAAACATATCCTTCTCAGACCTTCAATTCATCTTAAACACTCACACAGCATTCAACCTCGTCAGTTTCTCTTTTCCTTTTTCTTTCTCTCATTGGGTTCTTTTTGATTGTCTATTTTCTTGATTTGACTTGATGAATGTCAACTGATATTGGGATACCTCCATTCAGATTCGAAAATGACTGAAACTGTCAACCCTAGAATCCATCTCAATGAAATTGAACAGATCAGTGACACGCCAATTACAACTAGCTCAATACTTTCTCGAAGGCGTGATTCGATTATCAGTGCACCGGTTCCAATTAAATTACAACTTGTAAAAGATACACCATCTAACAATATTGGCGAAAGTGATTATCTTCAAAACCCAAACACTCTCTTACCCACCGTACCTGATCTAACTTTAAACCCACCAAGAACACCCGAAAGCTCTTCACATCCTACTTTATCATTCGAACCTGCACCTTCATTAATTTTAAATTTTGATACTACACCACTTTCGATGAGTATATCAAAAAAAGAAAACTATCAACCAGAAGGATATGAACCTAAACAACATTCAATGGATTCGATTAGGATCGGAGGAAACCAACCATCCGGTGTGAATGATCGAAAAACTAATTCGGTTTCGATTAATCAAGTCTTGAGTTGCTGTGAAGATCCATCACAATCTAAATGGAATCCATGGTCAATCTTCACCACCACCACTAGATCCATGTCACCTGATCCGAAATCATCGAGTAAACCTACCAATCGATCAAGACTTTCATTATTACCTATCTCACCTAACAAATTGAATTCTAGATCGAACAAAGCTGATTCGAATCATTCAACTGACATCAGTGGTCCCAAACCAAAACCTAATCAACCATCCAATCGAAGTCCAAAACATTCTAAAAGTTTTATCTTGGGAAATGGACAATTACTTAGTTTACCCAAATCTTTATCCAACAAACATTCGGGTCCTACCACACCACCACCACTTAGTCCACCACCTCCACCACCCGGATCGTCATCGAATTATAACACATTCAAAGAGATCAGAAAGAAGTCTCGAAGAGTTTCTGAATGGCTTTCACCTATGAAGTATGATCGAGATGCAGAAGAGATTGAACAAGTCACTGATCATTCATTAAAGTTCAAAACCCAACTGAAACCTAATGACTTGGTGGATGGAAGTAGTTCTACTAAGAATCTTTCGAATCGGTTGTGGACTTCTACTAGATCCATTTCTCATTCTCGATCTGAACCGATGATCAAATCAGAAGAAACTTCCCCCAACAGTAGTCAAACTTCTCCTGATCGAATCCAACCTGATCTTACCAAGACTTCTAATCCTATTAAATCAAGTTTGACGAATGATCAACTTAATAAGAAGATTAAGAATGTTGATGATCCGACTGCTGATTTGAAGATTGGTAATGAAACTAGACATTCATTGAGAAATTCGAAATTGTTGAACCGATTGAAACCTGATTTGAAAATTAAATCGATTTGGTAAACTTGACAAACTCAATTAGTTGGATTATTTTTTTCTCAAGTTTTTATCAATCTTGTTATTATCATTTTTTTATTTACATTTTCTTTTTTCAATTTTTCAATTTTTCATTCAATTCTTATAGACAATTCTAATTCTTTCTTTTCTTTTCTTTTCTTTTTATCTCATTTTATCTCATTGGTTTAAGGCTTTCCAACTTTTTTTCATATACTTTTATTCATACTCATTTATATCTTACATTCATTTCATTCAATTGATCAAGTACGAAACAATATTAAAAAATAATTAATACCCATGACTCAACTCAAAGACCTACTACTACTTACTAAATAGTTTCATTCAGACCTTCACTGGATTTCTTGTTTGGGTTTTGTTTAGTTGATGATGATGTCTTAAATACCTTGTGGTCTTTTTCCTGCGTGTGTGTGTTTTTGAAATACAAGTCTTGTTTCTTTTTTCTTATCTCATTTTGTGTGTGTGTGTGTTTTTGTGGGTTTGAATTTCATTATTCAATTTATAATCTTTATTCATTTTTTTGGGTTGAGAATCATTTAGTTTGGTTATTTTTTGAAACTTGACTGAGTTTTTTTGGGGGTTCTGGGTGGAAAGGTTTGTATGAGTTTGGCTTGAGATTGAATGATTTATGCTTGAGTTCTTGTATGAAAAATTGATTGATGATCTGGATGATATGAGTTTAATGATACATATTTTTTTGATGATGCATTCTATTGAGGATTAAGGAATAAGGATCTCTAAAAATTCAGCTCCCTCTAGTATAAATTATAATGAATGAGCTTACCCAAAAATACTCAAGCAGGAATTTTAATTTTATATACTTCTTGGTATATATAGGCTTAAAGGCTATGGTTTTGCCTGAGCTCATATATGTATAATGACTAATTTGTGAGCTGGAGGAAGTTGGAATTAGATATTTATGATGTGATGATGTACAAAACTCGAAATTGAAAAAACTGTTTTATTGACAATGCACCATCAAGTCAGCTTGAGAAGAGAAAGATATTTACGTTGTGGCAAAAAACTTGGATGCTCTGATCAAGTTTGAGCCTGTTTTATTTGTGATTTAAGCTCCTCAGTAACCCGAAGAAGCCCCGACCATACTCGGACTGATCTGGGCTTCTGCGGTGGCAGCCGGGGCAAAGGAACCGGGGCCACCTCAATCGGCTTTTTTTTTCAAATTTCTGCAAAACCATTTCTACCGAGTTTATCATCCACCATGACCGAAATATATGCTCACTTGATTGGTAAGTAATTCTTAGCTGTCTCTCTTCAAGAATCCAAACTAACATAGAAACTATTATGAATTCTATAACAGAACCAAAAAACCCATCAGTTTAGATTGACACTTTTATCTAAAGTTTTAATAAGATTGTGTATCATATGATCAAGCTGTTGAATTATTTTGAATAAAACCATGAAGAAAGAAAAGACCAAATCAGTCGATAAAGCTATAGATTCTTCGAAAGTAGATCAACAATCTATCGATCAAACCAACGAATATGTTCCTTTATCTGAGGCATTAGCTTCATCGGTTAAGCGTCAACGTAAACCTAAATATACCACATTGGATGATATTAAGAAACAAAATAGATCTAAGTGTGATGAGGAATCGAGTGGATTAGACTTAAAATCTTCTCGAAAGGAAAAATCAAAGAAACGGAATCATAAAGTTACTACTTCTGAACACGATTCGACTTCACTTCTTATCACTCATGTTCCAGTTGATAAAACCCAAACTTCTAGAGAAACGAACGATCATATCAACCCTTCGAACTCGATTCTTCCTTCTTGTAGTCTAGTAACTGACACAAATGAAGATCCCAACTTCGACCTTGGTGCGAAATGGGCTGATGATCAAGCTCAGATGACAAAACGTAGAAAGAAGAATACGAAAACATACTCCTTAGAGACGAAGAAAGTCGAAGAAATCAATTTGTTAAAAGATTCTATGGACATAGCGGATGACAAGATCAGAGGTATGAATATTGATTCATCTCGATGGGTCAATATTTCTACAACGGCTCGAACGATTGAACAACAAAGAACCAAACGAAAGAGAGAAGTCTCTGGATCTCGAAAGACTGGAGAGGATGAAAACGCTGCTTTGGAAGTCGTAAGGAATGTTGATCAAGAGGATTCACATGAGGTTGAGAAAAGGGTCAAGAAAAGCAAACGTGATAGAAAAAAATCAACGGTGTTAGGAGTTGATAGTCAACATCCATCTATGCAAAAGGGTATTGAAGTTGAACCCAAGAGTTCATTACCGCTCGCGGCAATCGATGGATCTGAACTCCAACAAAATGAGATGTCCTCCAAACGTCCTGAAACAAGTGAAGAATTGATGACTGCGCGACCTCAGAAGAAGCGTGACAAGAAACTTCAAAAGAATCTAGCTCATGAAGAAACACAGACTCCTTCTCGTCAGCAAGCTATTGGTCAACCTATAGCTTTACCATCTAACAACGACACCATCGACACCATTGCTATCTCACCTTCGATTCCTGGAGGCAATGTAGGTCAATCCGAAGATTTGACTGTCATCACTGACCGAAGGAAACGTAAAAAGAAGCGAGCTGGCGAACCGGTGGAACGATCTATTGGTACTGCGGCTGGTGGTGATCCCAAAAATCGGTCAACTGATTCAGACGAACATATAATGATTGATCAACAAGCTGGTGCAACGGAAGACTCCAATGAATCGAGCAGTCGCAAGAAATCTAAAAAGAAACGGCGTGTTGAAACCGATCTATCTTCTCAAACGACAACCACCCAAGATAATCCTGCTGGTCAAGTTGAGTCACACAAGCTCAAGCGAAAATCATCAACTTTAGAAGGATCTGATGGGGTTAAAAAACGTAAGAAGAGACGAGGCCCTGAGAAGTCTGCCGGCGCTCTTTCCAATGATGGTAATGAAGTGGTATCTGAACCGACTCTCAAAGATCAACCTGTCTCTCCTGTGAGCGATAAATGGGCACGCGATAACCCAGTGCTTGTTGATGCAACCAACAAACATCTGATAAGTCGACTCACAAAATTCTCTGAGAACTGGAAGGAAATGTTAGTTGGATTAAAAAGGGACGAGATCTTGACGATGGCTTGGCTGACTCCACAACAGCTTCAGGAACTAGTCGACGTATTTGGTGAGCTATTCTGCTATTACTTTGACTTGAGATTTCTCATTGTTGTCAGATATGGAGAGAAGACAAGAGTTTGTTGTGAATTTTGTTTGATTTGCTAATGTGGGTTGGTGATGATTGTAATGATAGGCTTCAAGTACAGACAAGGCCAATATAGCGCTAAAGAGAAGGCTGTGATTTCTTCAACAATAGCACTTTATCAAAAGCAAAACAATCTCACAGATGAAGCGATGAGAGAATTGATTATACCAAGTCGTGTGGGTGTCAAGATTGACAAAACATCTGAGAATTCGATTTTCCGACAACTTGCAAGTCAATTACCTGGTCGTTCATTAACTTCGATTTGGAAAACTGTGACTCGAGCTTGGGAAGTACATAGTAAACAAGGAAGATGGAAAAAAGAAGAAGATCAACGATTGATTGAAGCTGTCACTCAACATGGTAGGGCTTGGGTCAAAATCTCACCTTATGTAGGTAGAGCACCTAGTGATTGTTTAGATCGATGGAGAGACAGCCTTTGTTTGAGAGAAACAAAGAGAGGTGGAAGTTGGACACAAGAAGAAGAAGATCAATTAGTGATGATTATGAAGAGATATATTAAGAAGATGAAAGATGATGGTGGACTTAAATATGAAGGACTTTGGACACAAGTTAGTATTGAGATGGGTCAGAAACGATCGCCTAATCAGTGTGCGGTCAAATGGTATTTCGATCTCTTTTCTATCTCTTTGTCGGATTTCGCTTTTTTTTTCTTTTCGTAGGTTCTCATCTTTTAAAATCTTCTTTTCTTTTAACAATGCAGGGTGATGACTCTTAAAGACAAGACTCTCAATACCACTCCACGAGGCGAATGGAAACATCGAGATGTACTGATAATGGTACAACAGTTGAGTTTGAATTTGCTTACTACTGCTTTTTCTCACAAACTGATGAAGCAGAAAAAAACTCTCGTAGAATGGATAAACAGGAGATGGAAGAAGATACGGGTTTTGATTGGAAACTTTTGATTCATGAAGGATGGGATCGATGGCCTGCTGATAAGTTACGTCGTCGATGGAGACAAATCAAAAGATATTATTTACGTAAATATCATGATTATGATGAAAATCCATCACCTTCAGGTTTGTACCTATTTTTTCTCTATCAGAATCTCAATCAATCGAATCTTGATTTTCCTAAAAATAGAAATTAAGCTTGTTTCTTCTTTTTGTTTGGGTCTTTATCAGCACAAGAGATTATGAAAGGGATTTTAAAGATTTGGAGTGAAAAGACTGATGAAGAATTAGATAGATCAGTACTTAGAAAAAGTGAAATCAAAATGATCACAAAAAAATCTACAGAAAACTTGAGGAAAAGAAAACCAAGAAGGAAAAAAGAAAAAGAAGTGAATGAAGTTGAAGAATTACAAGAAGATGAAATTAAAGAATTGGAGGATCAAGAATGAAGCTGAGTGTTTTTCGATCAATAGATTTATTTTAGGTACTTAATATAAGAGACTCAGGGTTTTGTTTGGGTAATTCATTTGGGTTTTTTTGCATTAATTTAATTTACTTGATTTGTTTGAATTTTTATGTTCTTGATACCTCTTGCATTTTATGGATCTTACAATCAGTCATAATATATGGAAAGTAATATTTTTATCTTAGTAGACTGTAGTGAGAGGGGTTTCTTACTTAGAATTGTGTCCCAGAAGTAGTATCATCAAGAATTTGTTAAGCATTTGAAAGTTTGCAATACCATTTGATGGCCATTTCCGACATGAGTGATCATTAAGTGGAGCCTTAGATATCCTTTGTTCTCATATTCTTCTCCACCTGAGAGTTTGTCTGATTGCCCAAAACCTGTTTGATCCTGCTCCTCTTTTAACTCATTATTATTGAATCTTCACTTGATTCTCTTCTGTCTAGTCTGGTTCAATCGTGTTGCCTCGGGTCCCTAGCGCTGTAAGAGTTTCAAATTTTTTTGTCCTTAAGCTGGCGTCTAGTCCACAACCAGCTGCCCTGTCTCTCATCGGAGAATCATGTTGGAATCCTTCATGTTAAGGATAAGGATTCATCTGAAGGGTTCCTGTTGAACTTTTCACGCTCTATCTCTCTGGGGATATTGAACTTCCACCGGAAGCTGTAGTATTTTACTGGTCAAGATCCCTCAAAGGACGCAAAAGACGAGGATGCCAGTTGTTGGATTGGCAGCTTTGACGCATACTTTGAAGTCAATTCATTGATACTTTGCCGATCCATGACATGACGGAAGTACGCCGGCAAGCGCTGCATCAAATTCGAGCACTCAGAGGCGATGATGTAGTCTGACTCTGAGTGTAGACGAATATCAAGGCTCGCGTTTGCGGATAAACTTATCACACACAATTACTTACAATACTTTGATACTCATCGGTGTACTGTCGAGATCGCAATCTCCAAGTCATCTGCGAAGCTGGAACGTTGGCTGTCGTTGAATGCTATAAGTGATGATCACTTATCACCATCGCTTTCTTTTACATAGTCTTACTGAATTGACTCGCCGTCATGAATCGATCGAGATTCAAATCCAATCACACAAAACACGGATCGATGTGGTATGCAATCTTTTATCCAGCTTTATCGCAGTTCGAGAAGCCCAAATGTTGTTAGAGTGTGTAATCAGTCGTTCCTATTGCAGCTGCTCAGTGGATCCACAAATTTCATTGACCGAGACGCAGAGGTTAGATGAGTGACCCTTTTTACGAAAACGAATGCAGTGAGATGCAGTGTCCATAGATGTCCATACTCAAATTGCACTGCTATGAATTGTGCGCTATTTGTGTATCCCTTCAAATTGCGATTACAACGGCTAGAAAAGAACAGCCAAAATTGACACAGTTCTATCCAATGTTTCGGCAAGCTGGACATTTCGCAATTCGCAATTCTTTTCTCATAGACCTGAATTTTGTTAGATATCAGTCTCTATTCCGCGGGGGCTGAGCAAATTATTGTGTTCCTTTTCATCCCAACTCAAAATTTGCATCAAGGTAGGCTGATTCATCTGACGTTAATCCCCACCATCGATTCCGAAGCGGCGTAAGGTTGTGAGCCGAACTGGGGTATATGCATGAGAGGCACAAGCACAGATCCATGGACCGCGTGCTATAAAAGATTGCCTTTACTTACCGTCGACAAATCATTCCCCCAGCGCTCACACTTCCTACAATCTGTTATCTCATTAGAAACCCACATATACCTTTGCACATCTACATCTGTCTCCACATTTAGACTACTCCTAATTAAGCAACATGCATCTCAGCTCTGCTTTTGTCGTGTGTGTCTTTTTCTTCACCAGGCTTGCAAACTCTATGCCAGTGGATGATCACACAGAAACCCCTCTTTTCCCGCACAACCTCGCTCGGTCTTTGAAACAACAAGAGCCAGGTACACCTGGAAAGCTATCCAACACAGGTCCTTCAATTTCACCCGACACCAACCCATCATATTGGGCAGAATTCAACGCAAAGACCAAACCTTCGCAACCTATCAGAGGCACCAAACTTGGCGCTACCATCCTTGGACCCACCAATCTTAATAATCAAAACCAGAATGCCGACTCACTTGCTCCACCCTCGACCGACCACGGGACTGTACCTTCGTCGAAATGGCCCTTTTCTAGCAGTCACAATCGACTATCGGAGGGAGGATGGGCCCGACAGCAGACAATGGCAGTTCTGCCAACCGCAACCCAAATGGCCGGAGTCAACATGAGACTAGAGGCTGGTGCGATTAGAGAATTGCACTGGCATAGTGCGAGTGAATGGTGAGCTATAAAACGCATTCTCGCAACAATATTGACCCCAGAACTGACTATAGATCTTGGAAAAAATAGGGCGTACATCATCGCAGGCTCAGCCGAAATCACGGCCGTCGATGCACAAGGACGTAATTTTATTGATACTGTAGAAGCTGGAGAGTGAGTTATACCACAAAAATTAAGCAAATGTAATCAATCTGTCAATACTTACACTGACGCATTTCCCAAACCTTTCTCAACCTTTTATAGTCTTTGGTGTAAGCATTCAAGCCATCACAACTTGCTATGGTCTACATAAACCAAATTGATACTTGTACTAACTTTTGATTTCTCGACCCCACCTTTTGCAATCATGCCAGATTTCCCATCCGGTGACCCTCATTCGATCCAAGCAGGAGCAAATGGGACAGAGTTCGTACTGGTATTTGATAATGGGTCATTTGATGAAGATTCCACCTTCCTCTTGTGAGTGATCTTATTTTGGAATCTGGACCACATCGCGTACGTGCTGACATGAACGGTTATAGGACCGATTGGCTCTCACACACCCCCAAAGGAGTCATTAACAAAAACGTAAGTATATTTATCTTTTGAATTGTTCACCTAGAATCGAACTGATCTTTTCAACTTTATCTTTCAGTTTGGTTTCCCTGCGAATGACAAGGCTTTCGACGACTTGCCTTCAGGAAACGGTTTATACATCTTCAATGCCGAAGTACCAACTCCCGAAGACTCTAAACTACCAGAGGATCCCTATGGTCAAATCCCAGAGCCTTTCTCTTATCATTTCAGCCAGCAGAGTTTTACAGAAGAAAACGATGGTGGATGGGTTAAGATCGCCGACTCTACAAACTTCAAAGCAAGTAAGACTATTGCATCTGCTGAAGTAATGCTCAAGCCTGGATCTATTCGAGAGAGTGAGTTCAATCAGTAGTTCAATCCAGAGGCATTTGACTTATATTGACTTCTGAACATTGATAGTGCACTGGCATCCAACCTCAGACGAGTAAGTTTGAATTTGATAACCTGACTAATAACTTCAACGACTGACCTAACCTTTGCTTCACAGATGGTCTTTGATCCTTTCTGGAGAAACCAGAGTAACCATCTTTGCCGCAAGTGGGAATGCGGCTACTTATAATCTACAAGCAGGAGATGTTGGATATATCCGTGAGCCCATCAAATCTCCTGAATCGATTGACTAGACGCACAAGCTCATGCTCCCGGTTGGAAACCTCGCAGATGAACAAAACGGACATTACGTGGAGTGTATCTCAACTGAACCCTGTCATTTCTTGGAAGTGTTGAAAGCACCAAAGTTCGAAGATGTAGCTCTGGCTCAATGGCTAGCAGTTATTCCACGTAAGTTGTGAAACCTTATGATATTTTCTTTCGATACTTATTCATTTTCTTTTGTGTGTAGCTAAATTGGTTCAAGATCATTTGAGGGTTTCTAAGGAGACTGTCAACTCTTTTCGTAAGAAGAAAGAGGCTGTGAGATTTGGATCACTATCCAATGAGAATTAGATGAACGTAATTGTCACTGACTGGATCTCCTGGTGGACGTGGTGGTGGTGCTGCTTACATATTATTATTGCTCTCACTGTTTTTCCGCAGTTTGAGGCACTTGTAAAGATATTCGTTTTCTTGATAGTCTGTACAATTATTATACATGCTTTCCTTCACTAATACGAGAATATGATCACCATGTGCTTCATCACGCACCAAGTTCTTGAAGTGTTCCCGTGTATCCAAGATCAATAGGATTATCATATGTATGTGCATGTATGCACTTGAGAGAAGGATCAGGTTTGCGTGGCAACATCCGTGTGGACTGCAGTGGTGGACTGGAATATACATACAGTGCTGGCTTCCATAGACGTGCAGTCAACATCAATTGTGTACATATGTACGTTTATGGTGATCTCAATCAGCCTCAAATTTCCCCGTTTCAGTTCACGTCGTTATGGACAAGACGCGTCCCTTTGGTCGGCCAACCCCGGGATCTTAAACTATTGTCCCTCTGCCCGTTGCTCCTAACCCATGTGGTTTCAAGCCTCCAGTGATCGGCTGAAAGGATGAGGAAAATCGTGGCTCAACTAACCGCAAGTTCAAGATTTCATGACGGGGTTCATGACCAACCCATCCATGGTCCTTTGCCATACTCGAAAGGTATAAAATACTCACTCTATTCGGCTAGGATCGTCTCCCCATCTCTTCGCATCCATCCCAAGTCCCATCAGCTTTGTGAAGATTTCACTTTTAGAACCTAGTGTCCTATTATTTTAACAACTCGACTACGCTGCGCGTAATCAATTATCTGTTTTATACATACTGTTCACATCCCTCACTTCCAACAAGTTTTTCGTTCTCCATCAAGTCACTTCAATCATCATGCTTGCCTTCATCCCTTTTATCACAACTCTCTTGTTTCTGTCCACCGCGGGTGCCGCTTCCACTAAGGATCACAAGAAGCCTGATCCCGCGGTTCAATCATGTGGACGTTCATGGGGAGAATTCGCCAATCTTGGCAAAGGATTATTAGGTATGCCTACCTGTCTACCAACCTTGTTCCGATGATTGGGTTGTTTACTTAATTCTTCTGTCGATCAAAAATCTAGGTTGTCTTAACTATGGTTCAGCTCATTACAGTTGCCCAGCAGATGAATGTGGGGTTGGACAGGCACCAGCGGTCGGGCAAAAATGTTTGTTGTTTCCCCCATTCTTATCTTGGTATTGATGGCATAATTCATCGCGATTTACTCATTCAATTGCCTTTTTAACGTAGCAACCGCTGCTCCGACCTTTAAGAATTGTCAGAAGTACAAAGGTAATTTTGGAGATGACACAAATCTCGACGGGACAAAGATCACAGTCTTGGCAGTCTCCTACTTCTTCAATTACAAAGATGGCTGGCTCCGTAAGTACATTTTTGTGTTATCTCCATCATCTTCACAGATTCTCACGATTTTTGTCAAAACAAACTAGGCGTTTATGGCTACGACTCAAAAGCCCCTCGGTCTGCAGGTGACCTACCTGGATACAAGTGCGAGATGCCTAAGCACGCTCCGGCAGTCATTGCAGGTAAGTAACTTCTCTTTCATGTTGAATCTTCCTATCACTCTTGACTTCTCCTAACAAAACTCTCATTTGCTTGTCTTTTTTAGTCTGCCGAAACTGCACATACATTGGTGACGCCAAGTGGTGATTGTGATCAATGCCTCCTAAAGCACCTTTTCATCTAAGGGTTTTGCCAAAATTGTTTCCAAGTGACTGTGTATACTTGTAGATAGGAATGTGGACTTTTTTCATTTCATTTGTTCCCTTTGCAACTATGCTAGAGAACTCCCCCTTTGTTCACCTTTACATTTGTGACGGGGTATCATCAGCTCAGAGTTGTATGTGAATGAATACCCTGGTGACTGAGGGTTTTGCATCTCATCATCACCTTCGCCGTTTTGAGCACTTGTGATGACCTCCGTTCTTGCGCAACGGTTCCTTCCGGTTGTCTTTTGAGTTGTCAAATTATTGAGAGTGATCAAAAAGATAGTACAGAAAGGCATAGCTGGTTCTACAAGAAAAAAAGCTGGTCAACACTTTTTGTGATCACCCATTCATTGCGGTTAGACAGCTTTTCCAAGATTTCTCCTGATACCGATTTGTAACATACATTTTGGCTTCAGTTCCTTGCTCAACCGCTTCTTATCAATCGAGCTCGCTGTAGATAATCCTTCTGAAGTTCCTCTCAATCCAATAATTTGTATCCTTTCTGAGACAGAAAGCAAACATAACTATTGATTTGTGTCTCACAAACACATCTATTTAAAGGAGGATGAGGAGAATCATTGTAGTGTGTAGCGTGTAACGCACTTTTGAGGTTCAACACGACAATTGACCACCTGCTACACTTGTTGGTTGGTGAAAGGCTGCCTTCAGCCTAGACGTACATTCAGGCTCAACTTACTTTAACCTCGAGACTTTCCCTGCTCCGTCCTTCCAAACTCCAGCTCAGGTACTGGCTCGACGGGGGACTTAGTTAAGTCTGCGTCCTCCAGGCAACGTCGTCAAGGACGAATTAATGCGCTGGCCAGTCGAAGTCTTAAATCATTCCCCCACTACATTATCATAGGCGTTGCTCCCGAGCCATGTGGTTCTAAAGCCCACACTGTTCGGCTAAAAGGATGAGGAATTCGGTATTCCAGCCCGTCGTTCGCAGCTTCATGACTACTACGTTTGCGGTTTGTTGGTAACTTCTCCGGAACTTCCCTCGGAATAACGGACAAAAAGGACGCTCCATTTATCGAGGATTGTCTTGTAATCTCCTCACATCCATCCCAAGTCCCACCGACTTTGTGAATATTCAGATTTCAGAACCTGGTACCATATTTTTCCTCCTTTGACTACGCTGGCCGTGATCAATTGGCTGTTCTATATACTGTTTGCATTTTCTATTCAAGTTTTCCGCTCTCAATTATTCGCCCATTATGCTTGCCTTCATCACTATCATCGCCACGGTCCTTCACCTGTCTACCGCGCGTGCTGCTAACGCTAGGGGTCGTAACAGTAACACGCCTGACCCCGATGTTCAACATTGTGGACGTTCGTGGGGGGATTTCGCGAACCTTGGCGCTGACAGAAAAGGTCTACTCAATCATTGATCTTGTTTCCTCAAATTTCAGGTTGCTCATTCAATCATGTTCATCAATGGTTTCAAATATATAGCTTGTCTGAACTATGGATCAGCTCATTACAGCTGCCCAGCAGATAGTTGTGCAATTGGACAGGCACCAAGCCCCGGCGAAAAGTGTATGTTCATCTTTCCTATCTATTTTGTTATTTGAGAATCAAGTTGATCACTATTCTCTGGTCCAATTGCCTTGTGAACATAGCTCGCACCCCTGTTCCTCTCTTCTCAGAGTGTGCTAAATACCTCGGGAATTTTGGCGATGACACAAAACTTGACCCGAACAAGATTGCAATTAGAGTGGTGTCATATTGGATCGGTTATAAGAACAACACCCTCAGTACGTATATGGCTCATCCCTATCTTTATGAAGTTGTTAACATGCGGTTTTTGCTCATTTATCTATCAGGGGCCATTGGATATGATCAATCACTGAAAACTGAGCCTCCCAGTCCCTTACCTGGATATTCATGCACACTGCCTTTCCTAACTCCACAAGTCATTGAAGGTCAGCACCTGGGTTCCTGTCTCCAATTTTTCCATGAGTTGCCACTGATCCTAACAACAAATCTCAATATTAGTTTGTCGAAACTGTACATTCCTACCTGATGCCAAATGGTAGTAGTTAAAACCTTTTCAAATCTCTGCTTGCTTTTCCAAACATGTTTTAAAACAGCGGTCCATAATTGTAAATGAGCATGTGGGTTCTTTCATTGATGAGAACACCTTGAAAAAAGGCCAGAGTGTTGTGCCCCATCTTCAGGATATCACTTCATTCGACTCTACACCAATCATAGGAATCCAGAAATTTTCATGACAATCAAGCAGTTGACAATACAGCAAGCGTGTTGGACTGAGACTATGGGATGCTTTGATATAGTCATCAAATTCAGACCTAGACACACTGCAGGAAAACCTGAAACATTATCCAGACATCCAGATCTAGTGCCAGACAAAACTGGTAGCTGGAATTTTGGACAACTCTTATTGATATGACCAGACAATATCAAGCCTGACTCAATTCCAGTAGAATAAGCTACTTGTGAGGCATTTTTTGAAGAGGAGACTATTGACTTGCAAGACACAGAATGTTGGTTCAAAAACAATGTACTAGGCATCTCAGACATCAAAGTCACAAGAGATACTGATGCCACCAATGATATCAAGGCATATGTACAATCAGGTTATAGATTCAATTTGTATTGTAAACAAATCAGACAAACACATGATTGAGTTGTTGCAGCAACTGTTGGGATATATCATCTATTTCAATCACAACAAACACATACCTCAACAAACCCATACAGTCACTGATACAATATGATCACCAATACAAAACCTTAAACCTAATTACAAATTTAGCTGTATCACCATTGTATCACTCAACTTCATACTGATTGCCACCTTGTGCACGCCTCTTTTTACTCATCAGTCCACTGAAGAAAATTGGGTGTGTGAGTTCTTTTCTCTAACATTACATTCAATTCACTCATATGAACCTTATTCATCAATTGTTCTTGTGTCTATCACCTCCTTTTGTATAGATTGAATCTTGTCCCTCTCACCTTTAATAGGTGTGTATTATTGTTTGTCCTTGGTTCAGAACCAGAAGGACTTTGCCTTTTTACCAGCTTTTGACCAGGTCTGTTGTTTAAGTTGTGAGTAATGAAAAATATCAGTCCACTGAAGAAAATTAGGCATTGAATATTGTCCCTCTCACCTTTAATAGGGGTGTATTATTGTTTGTCCTTGGTGTTCAAAAACAGAAGGACTTAGCCCATTGACTGGCTGTTACAATCTCATATATGTAACACATGTGAAAGAGATGAGAGATGTCACGCAAGATGCGTATTTATAACTTGTATTACGTCACTTGTAGAACTCTTCCCTCATCCGACAATCTGAATAACAAACGTAGATTGCTTGGTCCAGATCCTTCATTCCTTCCTCGAGCCAGATCCCGTGAGACAAGACCTTAACATATTGTCGGATCTAAACAACGGGAATCAAGGAAAACGAAATCGAATCGACAGAAACTGAATCAGAAGAAGAATTAGATGTTAGACCAGAGAAAATGAGTGGGTATAGCTTTTTCCCACAGGGTTTTTTGATGCCACCCAAGGAAAGAACACAGAACTCGCAAGATAATGTTACAACTCTAAAAATGTCACATTTGTGAAAGCCAATATATCATATGTCACAGATGAGACATGGTCCTAACTTGTATCACATCACTTGTAGCTTCTTTCCTCATCTGAGAATCTCAATGACATACTATCACTGCCAGCATTAAAGAGGTTCCCAGATGGGAATATGGGTCATAGGAATCAGACAGCCTTTGTGACTACATATATCACAATGGCGGTCTGATCCCTACAACCCATATTCCCATCTGGGAACCTCTTCAATGCTGGCAGTGTATATTGCTTGTAACTCCTCCAAACCCCAAGAGCCCGACACCTGATCATCACAATACACAACATGTGCAGTCACGCCTCTACAATCTGGTCCTTCAAAAATTTGGTATCCTCTGATCTGGTTGGATTTTGGTCCAATAAGTTGGTCCCAGCCAGATATCTCTGTTAACCAGTCATCTCTGCTATCTGGTGCAGAGAGTGTCCACCAAGCACATTGAATTTTGGGGTTTGACTGTGGACCCATATTACTTCAGTCTATACATATATCTGGTAGAAAGTATTGAGACTGGCTCATGAACAATTGTGATTTAAATTGTAATGGTGCTAGCACCTGTTACTCTGAAGGTGCACACTCAAGCTCATTGTGAGTAAATAATTGACTGGGCAAGCTATTTGCACCAGGTCATACTTACCATGTTCTTGACAGGTTGGCACCACACACCAAGAAAGACCTCCTCAAGTATCTCATCTTCCATGATATTCTGATGTCAAATATACCCTAAGGTCCTGCTGGAAATTGCTTATGTTTGTTCTTTGGGATATGAAATGGACAATATTTGTGGTTCATGGTAAATCTCTTATCATCTTCTTTTACTATCCAAGTCAAGCCTTCAATGTCCTGTCAGTAGTCCTGACATTGTGTTAATCATCTTATTTGGACACCTCATCTACATGATTAGATTTTTTAGTCAGCACTCTCAGTCTATTCCATCATGATTGAGGATTTGAACCTCAGGAGTGACAAGGAAAGGCAAGAATATTTGGTGTGTATTAGTGGTTTCCACTAGTGGAATCTTTCACACTGTTGCTGAAGTGTCAATAAGTTCCTTTTCCCAAGTCCTTTCCACACCCCCACTTGTTGTGTTTGAATGATTGGGTTGGATAAGAGGGGTGCAAAAAACAATGTCAAAGTATAGCAAAATATGTTTCCTTGCTGTAATTCATTCATATCATATATGTAGTTGATCTTGCATTTATTTCTGTCCAAGCACACTGTCTCCTACTTCACAATTTTATCTCACTTTGTGAGTGTTTCGATAATTTATCAGTTCAGTTGAGTTCCTTTTACTTTTTTATGGGGTCTACATATATGTGGGCTGCTTGAAAAAGTGGGGGGGTGAATCTGCAAAGGCGCGGCCGCGGTCGCGCAGAGCAACAGTGGCACAGCAGCGCTTCGGAGCGCTGAATTGGATTCAGCGCACAGCGCTGCTAGGTTCCGCTGACTAGAACTCAAGAAATCGCCAGCGAGCCGACAATTTGTACGCTGACTTGAGCTGCGAAGCTTTTCAACGCTGCACAAGAATCTCCGATGTAGCAGCGTAACTGGAATTGGTGACGCTTCGCTGCTTCAGCGGCAAAGCGGAGCAAATTGTAGAAAAAAAGTAATGATTGAGGCTCACAAAGGCAAAGTTATTTAAAGAAAGACGAGAAATTAAAAGGAAACAAATTGAAAGAAAGTATAGAAATAAATAATAAAGAAAACAAAAAGAACCCGAACGTATTTAAAGAGAGTCGAGAAATGAAAAATAACAAAGATCAAAATGAAAACAACGTGAACGACTAAGTCTTAGAAGATCCCTGAGCCTGAAGTGACATATGGTATTCCTTGATATAGGTACTGTACTCGGGCATCCTAGAAGCCTCCATGGACTTCATGAAATCTCCACCGAGAGAGATCCCTTCACGAAGCCAAATGAGAGATGATACGGCCCTTTCGATCGTAATTGCCACCAAGCTTCCTTGACTCGAAGCACAGACATCGGCAGCAGCCGAGAAGATCCTCTTGGGTGCAGCCGATGATCCAGAGGAAGCTAGATAATCGTGTGCCATTGCGGCCACCACTGGGTATCGATTACAATGAAGCTGGGAGATAAAAATTCAGCTTTGACTGATGAAAGTGATGAAAGGGATCAACAAACCTTCCACCATGCCAGCGCCGAGTTAGGATCTGCCAGATCATACTCCGGACTTTTCATTCGATCGCGGCCTCCCAAATAGTCTCTCAGCTGGCTGTCGTCTCCTACTTCTTCTTCTTGCATGTCATTATACACTGCAAATATAGAAGGTTGTTGTTCTTTAGGTGATTCCAATCGACTATCAGACTTGTCATTCAACACTCGATCTTTGCTTGCATAGGCTGCTTGATATTTCTTGAAATGATTATTAAAGAGAGCCTCCGCTCGAATGGATACTTCCGATGTTTGGCCGAAGAACATGTGAAAGAATTGTAGTCGAAACGCTGGATGAACTAGGCATGCCATGATTAAAGTCTCACACAAAAGTGCTTCATCTAAAACTTCCTGTGTCTTTTCTAACATGGCAGCAATCATGGGGTACGTGGCATCGGAGATATGTAGTTCTTCAGATCGGGCCTTCAGAGCTTTTCGAAGCTCAACGTACTCGGCTATGACCATGCACCCGGTGGGCTTGTCACCTTCCATCCGTTTGGTGACATCAAGAAACGGCTGAAAGAGAGAGATCAATACAATTGATGACATATGAATTAAAGATCAAACAACTTACTTTAAGCTCAGCATTGAGATTTCGTATTTGAGCCCATTCTGATGGGGTTACAGTCAATTCATGGAAATAGCCGTATGGCTTTCCATTCTTGCGAGGGCGTCGGTTCTTGGTGTGAACTCGAGCCAGGTCATCCTTCAGAAGTTGATCTATAACCTAAGAGTTCAGAAATTGTCAAACATTGAAACTTATGATATAAGAGTATGTTCTTCAATGTGGAACTTACATCACGGGCTACCCAAGCTTTCTGTCGGCTTATGTATTTGATATTCCACCGAATTCCGTAGGCTGCGATAAGAGATTCCACCTTCAAATCTAAGCTGATCTTGATGCGATCAAACTCTTTTCGCCACGCTGAAGACCGGGTGATCCGGCGAGTGATAAAGTCGATCTTGAAATGAATTGAGTAAAGAGGTGTCAAACACAAGAAATGTACGATAAGTATAATAATTAAGATTATCATAATATAATAACATACCTTTGCTAGAAGTGCTTCAAGCTTGTTTGCTTCGCGGCGATGAGTAGGTTGTACTTCCTGTTCAAGCAATAGGATAGGATCATCGGCTTCTTCGGCATCGGCAGAGTCCCACTCAGCTTCTTCAAATGCAGCTGTATCAGGAGCACCATCATCTTCCTCCCGTTCGGCAAGTTCCTGAAGGCTAGCTTCAGTTTCGAATTCATCCACCAATGGGGGTTGAGGTACGTCGGGTACCTCAGCTACAGGTCCAACATCATTACAATCCAAGGTATGTTCTTCATCTTCTTCTTCAATGGTGTCAGTACGGACATCAGGGAAATGACCACGCATCACCGACTTTGTTTTCCTAGGAGGAGGAGTCTTGAGACCAAGCGCTGCGAGACCCGCTCCAACAATCAATGCCATCTTGTGGCAAAAGCAGTATATGTGCATCGTATGTGGATCCCAGGTGTAATCTGAAATGTTGTCCTGTTCGAGAAACTGGGCATGCATTTCCCTAGCCATTGTGTTGTTGTTAGACCCCGAATCGGTGGTCTGGCAAAGAAGGTGGATAAAACGATGCAGGTAAGTTGAAAGTAAACAAAAGATGATTTGTTTATGATGTGATATATAAGAGGAGATACTCATCTTAGTAACTAAACCACGCTTCACAAACACATTGCCCATTGGCTTGGCAAGCCATTTTCCTTTGTGTTGCCAAGCCACAAGCTTTAGGGTAAGGTGCCGACATTTAAATTCCCATTCATTGTTGATGAAGGTGATTGCACCACCAATGAAACCGTGGCGATTACCCTTCGTAGTCCAAACATCTTGTTGAAGGCAAAACTTGCTCTTCAAGTTCTAGATTTCAATGTGAGTCATTAGCGTTCTTGAGTGTTTGTCTTTAATTTGAGGGCTGAACTAACCTTGAGCTCCTCAAAAACAAACTTCTTCATCGAGAGGTTCAATCGTTTGGCTTCTTCTGAAGCCCAGCGTCGACCATACAAACGAGCATCCGGCCGTAGATATTGAACTGCTGCTCGTAGCCACGCATCGTTCATCCGAGACCAAGGCAGTGCTTGGCGGACAATCCAAATGCACATCATTTGATTGAAGGTTATGTTATCGAATTTCACCTTTTGTCCTACAGTTACATATGATGATAAACTCCCAGGTTGATTCTTCTTGGCGATTTCATTCTGATGTTCAACCTCGGCCACCGACAGAGGCACCTGGAGTCCAGATCGTTTAGCTTTCTCTCGACCAGGACACCCAGTCTTGGACCGGCCAGGCTTTGTGTGCCCATCTCGGTGGGTCTTGAGGTTTGATGTTAAGTTGCTCGCACTGACCCGAACAATTGTTGGGTTATTCTTGTCAGGCGCACACCACGTACATGGGTATGAAAGCGGAGGAAGGTCCGGATTCTGAAAATAAATCATACATAAGATATCATATCTTGAAACATGATATACGGGACAGAACTGCACACATCAGTCTTTTTACGGGTTGGTTCCCCATAATAAGCAAGCAGGTCTTCATTTTCTTCCTTAGTTAACCGTCTCGATTTAACTTTCTCATTCTCATCGTCCAAATCAGCACGCAGTATTGCTTTTGTAACAAAAGCTGACTCGGTTTCTGCAGACTGTCAAGCAAAAGATACATATCATTCAAATGATACACAATAAATGATTGATACACAAAACCACATACCTGACTCTCCTTGGTGCTCTTCTGTTTTTTCTTTGGCGGTTTTTTTTTATTTTTATTTTTGTTCACAGCTTTGTTTGATTCCAACTCTGTAGCTGATACGTCGGATTCGTCGATGACAACTGGTCGTTTTGAATTTAACGGAGTCATCTCAACAGACAATCGACGTCTCCCATCTGGGCAAGGTGAGACCATTCCCGGGTTCAATGGTGGTTGTCGATTACGCTGAGGGCGACTTGCTGATAACGTTGTATTGGCATTGGATCCATCTCCACGAGATTCTTGTGCTTGAGATGATTCAAAGGACAGCGTAGATTGAAGAGGCATTTCGGGCAAATGGGTAGATTGACTCAAATAAAAGTTGTTTGCAGATATTTCAAAATTGAAAAAGTACGACTGTGAAACTTGGAGTACCCAAAGAATCAAGAAGCTCCTCCTTTTGAATGTCCTATGGAAGGGGCTAGTTTCAACTATCAACTTTCAAGGTGTAGTCTATTCAGTCCTCGAAAGTTGTCAATACATCTTTCAATCTTTTCGACAATTCTATCGACATCTCGTAAGACTCTTGACACCTCTTACCTAATATCTCAAATTCTCACCAAGGCATACAGGCGCTGAAATAATCAATTTTTGACCGCTGCACTTGGAAAACGCAGCGGTGAAAATTGGACCTCAAAATCGAGGCACTGAAGCGCTGCTGCATTTACGCAACAAGTTGTTTCTAAGCCTGAAGCGTAACTGGACGGCGAGTGCGCTGAACCGCCCCGAAGCGAAGCTTTTCCAGCAGCGCTTCAGCTGCGTGGAGCGCAGCTGGACCGGTGTTGCGCAGAGAGGGCTTTAACTGAGGGTGTGGAGATGCATTCGACCTTTGGCTTCCGTCTTACTTACAGAAACTGTTGTGCAGATATCAAAACCATTCAGCTTGCAAGTACATACCCTGAAAGATCGAACATTAATCATTCAAGTTGTGGTGTGTATAGGAATTCGAGGCGCAAGTATCTGTGTCAACATGGCCATCGAAGATCAAAGGTTCTTTTTTGGAAAATAAGTGCCAAATTCAAGCCACTCAATTGCATCGATGAGGGTGGTCTCATTTGAAGACGACGTATGATTCGTGTTCGGAAAAACAATGGGTCGGTGGCCCTGCAGATTCCATCAATGGTTCTCCAAAAAATATTAAAGACTCCTGTCAGTATTGAACGGGCCTCACGTTAGGTTTTAGGGGGACCGATTCTATCACTGACTCCTTAAAAATAGTACCCAATACGGTAATCGTATGTTTGACAAGCGCCATGTTGCGAGGATCGAAACAATCTCCTGATCCATATGTTTATATACAAACCGCGTCATCCTCCTCCTGACTGCATAGATCATTCTAGCGTAAGACGATTTGAGGCTTTGCAAATATGTACATACCTATAAATGATGACGATGATTTTTCGAACATATGAGACCTTATGAGACTCGATATCAGAGTGATGAGGATAGCACAGCAAGTCTGGGATAGGAGGAAGCAGATCTGGGAGAAAGGGACGGTGGACCTGACGTAGTGAAACTCTAAATGCTATCACATTAATTGCAATTCTATTGGGTGCTATTGGGTGGAGTTACCCCAACCAGATCTACAAATCTGTAAGCTGGGCAAGATGATTGATGAGAGTGGGGACTATGAAGTTTGTACCATGGCACAAAGAATGAGGAAAGTGATCGACGGTGAACTATGCCCGTATACAGTTTTGTTGGCCAGGAGATCATCGGGGCACGATCGAGTATGGTTGTCGGACGATCGGACTATAAAATCTTGAAGAACCGTTCAGAGCGTTGGGCCCAGCATCACTGTGCACTTCTTTGCAATTCAATTACCACTCTCCAATTTGTTACTTCATTCTCCTATTCACTATTCCGTTAATCTTTGGTATAATTCTCAAGTTTACTATTTCAAGATGACTGCCGACCGTGAAACTCAATTTAAAAATGTCAGTTTCGTTTCTGTTTCGAATCTTTACATTCTCGGCACGACAAATTTGGATAAAAAGAGATGCTGAGCATAACCTGTTCATTTGAATCACTAGGCTGTTTCGATTGTTCAAAACTTGCCCAAAGATGGTGAAGATAAACCTACGCAAAACGACCAATTAGCCTTTTATGCGCTCTTCAAGCAAGGTCTGCTTGTACTCTGTCAATCACTTGCGTCAGTCTTGTAGGTCTGATGATTCCCCAATCCTCTTTCTATCCTCAAAGCCACCGTCGGAGAAGTCAATGTTCCTCGACCTGGTACCTTCGACTTTGCGGGGAAAGTCAAATGGGTAGGTGAATCGATTAGCATCATCTATGAGATGTTCAGATTCTAAAGACTCCATACCCGGATTGTGAAATATGAGTAGGATGCTTGGAAATCACAAGAAGGCATGAGTCAAGATGATGCGAAGGAAAAATATGTCAAGGTTAAACTCTAAAGTTTCTGTTTCTGATCGATCAAGTTGGAAAGATCAGTTTGAGAAATTTCAATAATTGATTTTGTTTGTATTTTCGGATTCTCTAGTTATTGCGTGAATACTTGGAGAAAGCATCGGACAAAGAGCAAGCAGCAAAATTGTTGGAACAGGTAAGAAAAGTCCTGCTCCTACTCTCTTCAATAGCGATAAAGATCCACGTACTCTTGGAATCTATGGGAGTCATGCTAAGTTTTGATCCTCTGTTCTCACCTCACTTAACAGCTTGATGCAACCTCATGAATGTTCCAATCATTCAAAAGCACTGGTTTTTGATCAATCTAAATATCCGATTCCCACAACCATCAAATTAGCTTCCAGCATCGAATTGCTTCATGATGCAAGGTATGATCTTTATCGTGTTGTGATTGTCTTTTGGGTCTCGAAACTGGTTTTTCTCTCTGTGTATACGTGTACCCAAAGAAGACGGAACAGCCTTGAATCAACCACACAATCCATTGGTATATCTTTTGTGTCTGTTAAGAAGTTAAGCGGCAACATGTATCAAAGTTTGAAGTCAAAATATCTAGGTTGAGCTGTTCTCTAATTTCCATGCTGTTGAGAAATTTCAATTCACAATGTCATGCGTGCTTTTTGATGAAGAGGCCACAGAAAATCTGATGATTTTTGAGTACACAAGTTTCCAAAGATTGAGAAGATCTCAAGCTCAGTCAAAACCAGGAAAAACTCATCCTACCTGAAGGGCCTATCAGAAGACCTTCTGACGAGATCTCAGTGTATGTCTTTGCTGAATCTCCAAAGGGCTTGAAGACACAAAAATCCAGGGCCAAAACAAATGTAAGCTCCAGATAAAGGGCTGTGGGCACCCTCAGTACGTGTTGCTGGCTTGTTCACTTCTTTTGATACCAGAAGCATGTATATAGAATTGACACAACCTTCATTGCCAAGATATGGTGGACAGTAGATTTTTGATATATAACAACATTATGAAAATTCATGATGCAAAAAAACAACAAATCAAAAGTGAAGAAGTAATTCACTCCAAGGTTAGTAAGAAGCTGAGAATGTTTGGCAAAGTTTTCAGAGTTTCAAGGGTGAAAACAAAGGTAGCTTTTTTCAAATACAGAATTTTCTTACCATTGGAGGACACTTCACCTCAAGATTATCTCTATCAAGGAGTGTCAGAGCTGGAACTTTATGTCTCATATCAACCTGTGCTGAATGTGTAAATCCAAAGCTTTCAAGATGAACAATCATTTGTGGACTCCTACAATCTGGTTCTGAAAATGTTTTCTCAGTATGAGTTCTTTGTCATTGAATATGTAATGAGCTAAAGAAGGTAACCATCATTTAACTCTATGTGGGCCTGATAATCAGAAGAGCTAATGAGCATGTGAACACCTACATTGCATGGTTGTGCTGAACATAATTTTCCAATCATAACTTCTGTAGTCCTATCTATTCCATCCATGCATTCAGTTGTATCAATTGGAAAGGGGATGGTATCAGAATTGCACTCAGTCAGATGAATTTTTTTAGCAAGTTTGAGTCACAATACACAAGAGGTTCATAGATTGATTTATTGTCAGCTGCACCACAGTGTGATTCTGAACATCATGTGCAAATCATTGGGTTGGACTTTGAGATGTTTCACATGGAGAATGTAGGGATGTTTTCAAAAAAAACATCAGATTGCCTACTTGAGATACTTGCATTGTTGGAGAGATTTTCTTGAACGTCTTTGTAAAATTGCCAAAATTGACAAAGTTCTTGCTCCACAATTGGATTCACTTGATCAAGTTTGACTTCTTGAAAAACCTGCTTTGATCACAACCGGGTCAGTAAAAATTTTCATAATTCCACTTGCCAATCATCATCATCTCAACTTACAATCAGGGGAATCTGAATAACCTCTTTGACTCCACTCAGCTTGAGAATATATATGCAGTTCCAGATCACATGCTTGACTTTTATTTCTCACAATTGGAGTAGAACAATTGTGTATCACACTCTGAGGAACTGTACAAAGATTATATAATCAAGAAGCACTTGACAAATATTTGTCAAAAGATGAACCTCATGTTCATGACAGAGAGCAAGTAAGATAGATATGTGGAAACCTGTAAGGCTGACTCTTCTTTGAGATTGAGAACCTTTGAGATCACAGAAGTTTGTCTCAGAATTGATGACCACAGGCTCAGCTGATGTTGTTCTAGGACCCTGGAATACACCCATGGAGGGTACTGACGGAGCATGATTTTCAGTTTTTTGCCTCTACACTACGCATCAGTGCCTCTATGAAGCTGCAGAGCACTTCAAAAGATGCGCATGGAGTAGGGCTATCAGATGAGACCAGACAGAGCCCGGCATCGTGTCTCACGGCGGCGTAAATCGCGATGGCGCAATTTTTTTTTCGACCTCCAAGGCCAAAAACCGACCCTCGATTTTTGGCCCTTTTTTGGGCGTTACATTGATATATCTTAGGTAATATTGGTGCTACCAGGCTGCGAGCTAGTGCATTTGAAAGCCTTCATTCTGGTGCATAGAGCAAGTAAGATAGATATGTGGAAACCTGTAAGGCTGACTCTTCTTTGAGATTGAGAACCTTTGAGATCACAGAAGTTTGTCTCAGAATTGATGACCACAGGCTCAGCTGATGTTGTTCTTCATTTGTTCTATGGGTACATCCCTCTGCACAAATTGGTCAGATTCTCATTTTGATCTGCATGATGTAAATATGTTGTGCGTTCCCCGGATTCACCGAGCCAAAACAAAAAAAATCAAGTCAGAAATGTAGTGACAGAGTCTCGTATGAGTACTCTGCGTCTCGCTTAATGATGGTCCAACTCCAATGATGGAGAGTTGGAAGATCGAGGAGCGGTACAACTATAAAGAGAAGATCTCCCAAACCTAAGCCCCGAGCTTTTTCGTAGACGTGGCCCCGCTCACTATGCCTGGCCCTATGGCCTCCGGCCATAACAAGAAACACACCAGATTTAAAATTCAACTTTCGCACCGGAACTAGATTAACAAAAACACTTCCATCCGATCGGCTGTTGTTCGAATCAACTTATCAATCGAACAAACCACTTTACCAACCTTCCAGATCAACCAAAAACAAGTCAATTCGCACATAACTTCGACAAATAAACAACTCAAAAATGAGGTCTGTAATTAATCAATCCAACAAAGTAAGTAAGTCACCATGGTACTCTGACCTCCCACAAATGTTCCTTGGTTTGTGCGACTAATTGATATCTTTATTTGAACAGGTATCAAAAAGTATCAGTAAATTAGAATACGAAAAGATATCCGCAGAACTAAACGAACTCACCAACCCCAACACATCAATTCCACCACCACCACCACCACTTTTAATACTAGATTTAAATGGTACATTAGTAATGAAAAAGAGACCAAATCCAATCAAACGACCATATGTAAGAGAATTTTTTAATTATATTTTTGGAAAAGAAGTGATTGGATCAAAGGAATATACGAATTGGGAAGTGATGATTTGGAGTTCTGCACAACCTCAGAATGTTAAAAAGATGTGTGAATTATTAGAAATTGAAAAAAGAGAACATGGTTTGGTTCCAAAAAATGATTATCTTGATCCACCGATTCATCATCATTCACATAGGTATCTAACTAGATCAAAAGTTAATTCATCAAATTCGAAAATCAAATCAAATGAAACCCCACAAACAAATCATGAACATCAACATCAAAATCCAACACCAAAGAACCACAAAAGAAAACGATCAATTTTAGAAATTTGGGATACAAGTCAAATGAATTTAAGTGATGAAGATTTCAATCGAAAAGTATCCACAACAAAAGACTCAAACTCAATCTGGAAAAAGATCAAATCTTTAGATCCATATACCCAACAAGAATACGATTATGGACCAAAGAATCATAAAAGATTAGTTTTAGAAATTTGGGATAGAAGTCAAATGAACTTGAGTGATCAAGATTTCAATCGAAAAGTATCCACAACAAAAGACTTAAACTCAATTTGGAAGAAGATCAAATATCTAGATCCATATACCCAACAAGAGTACGATTATGGACCAAAGAATACGATCATAATAGATGATAGTCCTGAAAAACTAGTAAGTTAATCCTCATCCTCTACTCATCATCATCATCATCAATCCTAAATCCGTCTTTTTTGAAAATTTCAGTTACTTCAACCTTTTAACTTGTGTCAAATTAAAGAATTTCAAGGAGATCGAAATGATGATGCTTTATTAAAGATTATTGAAACTTTAAAAGAAATCAAATCGAATTCAAATTCGAATTTTGCTTCTTATTTAAAATCCAAACATGATCAAAACCAAAATCAAAGTCAAAGTCAAAGTCAAAAACAAAAACGAAAACGAAAACAAAAACACAAACATAAACAAAAAGATCCAATTCAACAAGTTCATCTCTCTCACAATCAAGAACCTTCCAAACGATTTTTTTCGTAAACCATCAGGACCTTTGAAACCAACATTTCTTTACATTTACTTTTGTTTCTTCAAGATCTCAATTGTAAGTATGCTAAGTAATATTTGTCGTAAGATTATGTAATCAACTTCACTCCTTCAATCGATTCTCAATCCATTTTGTACAAATGCATTTTGATTTCTTTTCCAAAGTTGTTTTCTTTCAAGTTTCCTTACCAAAACCAAAGTACTAGTTTATCTGTAATCCTTATCTCTTTTTGCATTTACACCAATCTTCTTTCTTTTTGACTTAAATAGCTTTCTTGTGCTCATAGAAAAAAAGAAAAAAGAAAAACCCTTGTTTTTTTTATTCTTGAACACCACAAGAAAATACCAATAGTATAAAATCTGACTGATATGATGTTTGTACAGATGAGATCTGTTGAAAACCAAAAAACTATTCCCCGGAATTTGACTGAATAAAACAAATCATCAATGCAGAAACCAAAATCAGGTTTAGCACTGGAACTATTTTTTTCTCTTCTTCACAAAACCTTTCCTTGCAAATATCGGATCAACTTTACATTTGTTCGTATCAATGGGAAAAAAACTTGATTCAATTTTTCAACAAGGACGACCTAATATCTCTACACATTCTTTGTTTTTTTGCATGATCATTTAAAAGACTTTAAACTTCTTTTGAATTACAAAAACGACAGAACAAACTGAAAATCAAAAGGACCTTCTTTAAAGAATACATGGAAAATAACAATCCGAAATGCTTAACGATAAGAGACAACCAAAGAAAAAGAGACTCAAATCTGATTGAAACCAATCCAATTTGCTAAAATAAATAAAACCCTACCAACCTGAATTTCATTTTGTAGAGAAAAAGAAAACTCATAACTGAGAACCAATAAGAGAAATGATAATATCTGATAAGAATGATGATTATAGAATGGGTAACCATCTAATTCGATCTTGATCATCAATTCCATTAACATGACTTCTATCCACCACTTCCAAAGGATTACGATGAGCATGATGATGACTAGAACTGCCTGCAAGCCTCAAAGAATTCCTAGAAGTTGTATCGACCTGATCAACTTTCTTTAACCTTTTCAAACGATCTCTAAGTCTTTCAATCAATCCATTCCCATTCCCATCTCCATTTCCCTTTCCATCCTGATCCGCATCAACAGTTTGATTCTCCTCTAACCGTTCAATAAATTCACCTAACCTTTTTAACTCAATAAAGTTTGGATTCTTCATCTGTTTAGAATGAGCTTTAGTTAAATTAGCTAAATTAGATAATTGAATCAAAGTAAATAATCTGATCACTATATTTGAAAATCTACAAGGTAACATAAACGGATCTTCAATTAAATATTCGTAATCTTTTACATTCATTCCATCTTGATTCTTGGATTTCTTTTTACCTTTTTCATTGGGTTTTGAAAGTATCTTGGTGGATTTAAAAGCTTTGAAATCTTTGGAAACTTCAATCTTACAGGTCAGTCTTGATACCTTTGGATTTGATGATTCATTGGTTCTTTTCATCGTTGGTGTAGATTGAAGGTCTTGGATTTTGAAATTTAATTTCATTTTGATCATGCCTCTTATATTTCCTTTACTTTTAACAATATCATCATTTTCAATTTGAATTTCACCCCACCTTCAAATAAAACCACGGATCAAGACCCAAGAAACCAAAAAAATCGTCAGTTAAGATTTTCAAAGGACAAAAAAAGAATGAGTTGGTTTTGTAAATTCGATCAAAGACTTACCACATTAACCATTTTAAAAGATCAGAACAAGTTTTAGTTTCGATCCAAAGACTTTGACTATCCGAAACTTTTAAACTTTCATGACAACTTTCTACATCGATCTCTTCATTTCTCGTCGTCAACTCTCCATCAGTTCCTTCGGGTTCTTGTTTGATATACTTGATCTTGGCAATAGATTGAATAGAATTCATAATCTCTTCTGATGGTTCATCACCTTGGTTTGCATGAGTTTCGTTTAAATTATTCTCAAGTTCATGGATTTCATCAAGAGGATCAGACGAATCTTGTTTAGGTGTTCTGGCTTCTTCAGTATTGATTCCAAGTTGTTGAATAGGATCAGGTTGAGCTGACAATCGGTTTATCGATGGTCCTTCTGGATCATCAACCTCGAGTTGATGGATAGAATGCGACGAATTAGAAATTCCAGTTGGTGTTCTAGCATCTTGATCATCAACTGGAACTTGATGAATAGTATCAGATGAATCAAATGATGTATTGGGTGTTCTAAATCCTTGATCAACAACATCAAGTTGATGAACAGTATCAGATGAGTCGATAAATTTGTTCGGTATTTTAGGTTTTTGATAAATTGGTAATCGGCTCTCGTTGTCTCTTTGGGATCCAAAAGATGAAGCTTGATGAACCGAATGATGATCTAATACCGAATCCCGATCGATTTCATCAATAGCCGTCACAAATGAATCTTGAAGTGATGATTTTCTGGTTGGAAGAAAATCCTGATTTCTTTCTTCATCAGATGATAAATCCTCAAGTTGATGTTGATCGGCATCCTTTTCTTCTTTTACAAAGCTTCTTTGGTTTAACAAATTCGTAGTACTATCTAATGGATTATAATGTGATGAATGAATCGAAAGATCATCAAATGAATTAGATTCATCATCCGAATCCAATGAAACATGATCACTAAACTCGTCTGATAAGTCCTGATGATGATGATGATGATTGTACCGATCTTCGAAATCATCATAATTTACCAAGTTTTTTCTAGGTGGAAGTGGTGGTGGAATAGTGATTGGTAAGACTTTTCGGTTTTCCTTTGGTACATCAGGAACTCTACGACCTTCACGATCACCAGCACCAGTATTAGTACGACGATAAGGTAAAGGAGGAGGTCCCAACTTTCGTAAAGCTTCAACCGAATCCCAATGATCTCTTTCTTGTAAACTTAATTTAATAGCAATCGATAAAAGTTCATCTTCAATTAAATAATCTTTTTCAATCGGATAACTTGCACCTGGTGGTAATCTTGAAGGTCTTCTTGACGTTTCTGGTTGGTTATTGGGCGGTAGTACTCTGGTATCTTTATTTTTTGATATCTTGATTGCTTTTTCAATTTCATTTGATTCTATAATTTTCTGTCAATCAAAATATCCCTTAGTTAATACATTATAACAGGATCAAGTTGAAGATGATTTTGAGTATATGACTTACTAATTGATTTTCGAGTTTGAATTGATCTTCACTTGCTTTGATAGCTTTGTATAGTTCAATCTCATCATCATTAGGTTCATTATTTTTTTGATCTGAAGATGATGATTGGAATACTTGATTTGATGAGAATGAAGGTGAAAGGATTTGATGCTTTGAAGTTGAATGTCTTGAATATGACATTTTGGTTTAAGAAGTAGTTTGATGTCCAGTTCAAGTACTGCTACTACTGGTAACTACTATTAGGATTAAAGTTGAGAATGAAGTATGATGAATGAAGATATCATGTCTTCATTACTGAATTTGTAGAACGGTCAAGAGAAGAAAGACCTGATCAAGTTGAACTTATATGCAGCCAAGTCTTTCTTTCCAAATCGAACCTCAGCTGATTCACCTTAGAATACCTTATAATGTGACTCACTCACTACATACTGACTTGCACCCTCATGACCTATTGGTTTTTAACTTTTCAAGTTTGATTGGAATCGAAAAGAAAAAGAGAAATATCAAGAAATCACAATCATAATAAGACCAATCTTTGATTACCTTCCTTTTGTTTCGAGTGACTATCAGCTTGACTCTAATAACCATCTTGAAGTTGACAAACTCAAAGAATCCATACTCAGAAGTTTCAATGGTTTTCTACCTTTGTATCCTCATAGTTCATTCTTGTTTGTTCTCTGAAACAATGAGGAAAACAATTCGACTCAAATGATGACATCATAGTAAAACTGTTGTTAAGATAACTACAGTTTTATTTGACTTCATTTGAAACTTCACTTTCTGGAAACCCTTCTGTTCACCTTTTCTCTCCTCACTCCTAGGCAAATCATCTCCTATGATGCTATCCAAGCATTCTTTCTCAACCTGTAACATTTTTTGTAAAGAAACCATCCAAAGATATCTAGAAAAAAATGATTTTTTTTGGAAGAAGGAAATTTGTAGATATTGATATATGGTTTTGAGAAAGCTTTTTTTTTGTGAATTGATCCCATCTTGTACATGATATTTCTTTGACTATTTCTGCATATATTGTACCATAACTTAATATCTTTCTGAAAACCTATGCCTTTCCATAATCACATTCCATCTAAAACCACAAGACTTGCTACACATACATATTGTCAGTGTCAGTGTCATAGTCTGGGAAGCATGGCTTGACGCACAAATTAGTGGCAAGGTTAATCTGAAAAAAGATTAATTCCTGCAATATCATCAATAGCTGTCTTGATCTTCCATGGAGCACTACATGTGTTTTAATATTTCAAGAATTGTCATGGTATAAAACCTGATCATCATGTTGATGTACATTGTTGACCTTTTACATCCTAACCAAACATCAGATCAATAACCTTGGTCATTAAATCTATCATCCATAGATCCATCATGATGCAATCTATCTAACTGTTTTTATATGCTTGCTTGTTGAACTTGATGTTGGACTTGATTATGGATCAGATTGTCAGATTATATAGAATGCAATGACATCATTTTGAAGAAACAGTTGTTTGTTCAACTGTAGTTTGATTTAATCCCGATCAAGAAACCATGTTTCCAGTTCGATTGAAACTGAAATAGAGAAATATAAATTAGAATACAACAAGAAAGAAATTCAATTCGATCAAGATAGTCAAGTTTCCAGTTAATGAATCAAATCAGAATCAGAAATGTCAAAAGACCCATACTTTGAAGTCAAATCGTAAGCCCATCTTCACCCACACCCCATCATCCAAACCAAAATCTAACAAACCCTATTACATTCTAAACCCAAACAAAGTGAAGTGGAATCCTCACTAATCTCAGCCACGAACCTATTCTCATCCTACCAACGAATCCTCAAAACCTTACCCCCAGACTCACATCCAAACTCACTCGAACTAAAGAGCACAAAATCCGAACTGAATGCCACTTTATCAGGTTTAATGGCCGATTTATTAGAATTAAATGATACAGTCAACGTTTTAGAAGAAGATTTCAAAACGGTTGGAAAAAGTAAATTCGGTTTAAGTTTAGATGAGATTCGAAAGAGAAGAGTTTGGGTTGTTAAGTGTGAAGGAGAGTTGAAGAGGATGTTGGATGAGGTTAATGAACCTTTGAAGTCTACTCTTGTTCATCCACTTTCTAAAACTTATTCGAATGAAAACGAAGAAGAAGAAGATCGAAACGCAAAAAATGGAAATGAAGATGATCTTGAAGCCTATCAACAAGAACAAGAATCTGTTAGTAAACGTTTTAAGATTTCTATCTATTTCGATCCAAGATCGTCTCATGAGATTTAAATCATCATCGGTTTGGCTTTCTCTTGACCATTTCTCTGTGTGGGTTGGAGAGAACGATTCTTTTTTTTCGTAGATCATTCTTCATCAACAAGATCAAACCTTAGGTACTATCTCAGGTGTAGTAGGTGTTTTAAGGGAACAAGCTAGTTTGATGGGTCGAGAACTCTTTGATCAAACTCAGTTAAGAATCATTCCCCAAAACCTTTCAAAACAAACATCATTCTAATCTACATTCGATTGTTTTTTTAATTCGAGTACAGAATTCTAGAAGAATTTGATCATGATCTTGATTATACCGAATCAAGATTATCAAAAGCGAATCAAAAACTAAATCGATTTGTAAAAGATAATAAAAGTTGAGTGTTTGATTTTGGGTTTTATGTCTTCAAAAACCCTGCAAGAATGTCAAATTGATGGGATTTGTGAATCTTTTTCTTTTTCTGATTCTTCTTGGTAGATTCAAAATCAAGTTGGTGTATCTTACTTTTAATCTTAATCCTAATTTGTTTATTATTAGCCATTATTCTTATTTAACCTCATCACTATATCCTTTTTTCTAAACTCCTTCAAATCAAATCTCTCTCTCTCTCTGTGATACATCTTCACGATATTTCATTCAGTACATCATCTCTTTCTCTCTCTTTCTCTCTCAACCAGTTTAAATTTGTAAAACTACTCTTAGTGTTTGATCATTTCTTGAGGTCTTTTCCAACGTCTTGTTTTTTTTCTAAATCTTTCAAAAGAAGAAAAGAATAGATCATTTTAAATAGAAATCAATTCTGGAAGGGGTTTTTGCTTAATTTATTTTTTTCCACTCTTTAAATTCGAAATAAAAAGATCATTGTAAGATTACAAAATCGGTTTACATTTGATTTTATTGACAATCCGATTTACATAGATGAGCTTTGATTAATTTGAATGAGTTCTTGATCCTTTACTTCAAAACGTAGCTCAAACTTGAGAAACTTACATCAAATCAACACTCTAGGATAAATGAATCCTTCGAAAATGAAAACTTCAAAAGAGTGTATAAATCACAAATAGAGATCACAGGTAAAAGTAAATCACCTTAATAATCCAAATCGATTTCTCTTTTTTATTCTTTTTATCTCTTATTCAAATTCAAACTCAATCCAATCCTTCCCTTCTCCAAAAAATCATACTATAAAGACCCAATCACCTCAAGAAACCTTTGAATTCTTCAGACTTTCATCTTCAATACTACAAACCCTTCTTTCTTTTTCCAATAACTCTTCAAATTCGATCCTTTGAATTTCTTTCGTATTTGTATCCATCTCATCTTGATTTCTATTCCTTGTTGTTGTTGTTGTTGTTGTTGTTGTAGGGAATGGTTTATTAAGTTCTGGAATCGGATTCGATTTAGATTGAGTTCCTCGAATTTCTTCCCATCTAGATGGTTTTGTTAACTTTTCGTTTCTTAGTTCTTCCCATCTTGATTTAGTTGAGGTCGTGATGATTGAAGTTGGATTTGAAGTTGAAGTTGAATTTGAATCAAGATTTGATGGATTTTCAAATCGGTCTTGATCCTGATTCTCATTCTCATCCCTCCCACTCCCACTCCTCTTGGCGTTCACATTCCCATCCGCAATTCTCCCAGAAGCGTCTTCCAAAGCCTTTTCAAACCGATTCCTAACCCCATCCGCCCGATCAATCCTGCGATTCAAACCTTTCAAACCAAAATAAAACCCGATCCAAGACCCAAGAGCCGATCCCAAAGTAGTAAATCCAACAGACTGAGTTATCCACCAAACCCTAGCTTTAATAGCTTTTAAATCAGGTTGATGTGTTTGGTTTGAAACTAATGGAGGAAAAGATTTGATTAGAGCTTTGGATTTCCAAAAGAATGGTAGGGGTGAGATCATGGCTCCTATTATAAACCTACACATAAACGGATTCGAAGATTAGTTTCGTGTTTCTTGGTTTGGTTTGAGTTTAGGATTGGGGAATGGGTTACCCTAGTCTTGTGTAGGTTATCATTAATTGTCTTCCTTCTAATAAAAGCTCTTGATCTGATTTACTTAAACCATAATCAGATGCGTTTTCGAAAATCTAAATCGAAAAACCACATCAAATCCAATCATCAGTTTTTTGAACAAGTTGAAGTGGTTAGAAATCCTTGCTTAACTGTTTGAAAAACCTATATTATAAAAAACGGAAAATCGAAAAGTTTGATGAGTGTTTGGTTGCTTTCTTTGGAGTGTGATATGAAGATGGGGTTTGGATTTAACTTTTCCATTTTGTAGTGAGAATTGAGAATTGATTGAAGGTTTTGAGGTTGGTTTTGAGGTTGAAGGGATTAGATCGTAATCAGTTTCAGTAGGTTCTTCATTTGATATCATGGTTTGATTTTGACGATGGTTTGATTTTGATTCGATGGTTTGATGGTTTGGATTTGATGGTGGAATGGTTGACTGGAAATTTAAAATCAATTTTTTTTGGTTTGGTTGGTAGTTTCGGGTCGGGTATTAGGTATGTACCACATATTCAAGATGACATCATGATTTGTTGAGCAGCATTCATTCAAGTCTTGATGATGCCGATTGCTGCTGAGTGCCCCAAGAATTGGTATGATTTTTTCCAAGTAGACCTTCACTCTTGTTGTTCTCATCATCAGGTGTCTGTTTACGATTTAGCAAAAGTGGATTTTAATAAAACTGATTTTTTAGAATCTGAGTTTTGAACAATTCACTTGAACGGTAACAGACGGTAACCCATCATCGATCATCAAGATTCAAGAGACAGAAAGACTTCAAACTTCTAACCAAAGTCATGAGTACTCATTATAGATTCAAGACTCAAGCGAATACTTCTTACAGAAACTTATTATTAAAAGTTATTTTCATTTTCTTTTCTTTTCATCAAATTAACCCACACTAGAACACTGATTCCAATTCTGATGATTTTGGATGTAGAATAGAACCAATCACATTTTTCTGAATTATCAATCTCTACCAATGGATCTGATTCAACCAACTTGATTCAATCTACTAGCTCATATTGGTTAGCTAAATTTCAACAATTAGGTAGGTAATCTACTTCTCACTGGTCTTTCGATCAAATAACTAATCTACATTCGAAACTCTCCAATACACAGGTGGTTTGATTTGTATGCCATATCATTCACCTGGTAAATGTGCAAACCAATCACCTAGTTTTACGGTTTCTTCAAATCTTATTTCGGACTTTGTGGTTTCACCTTTTGATGATTTATTAGCTGTTGGTGATGAAAAGGGAAAGGTCAATCCGATTTTATCAAAACCATATATGTACTCATCTTGAAATCCTAAATGACCATGATCGTCTGGTTTGGGTATTTTGGATTGACAGGTTTCAGTGTTAAGATTACCAAATCAGATCGATTCAAATGAACTAAACCCAAACTTTCCACCACTTCATCATTTCTCTCATTCATCAGATGGAAGACCAATCGATAAACTGACCTTCAATCCAACTACAAGTTCACTCCTAAGTACTTCATCTGCTTCTAATTTATCAATTTGGGATTTAAACCATTCTTCATCAATCCAATCACCTGTTATCAATCTTGATCATCATCAGCTTGGGATTTGGGATCTTCAATGGAATTGGAATGGTGATTTGATCGGTTGTACTACTAAAGATGGAAACTTATCGATTTGGGACCCTAGGAATGGAAATCGGTTGATCGGTTCTTGTCTTTCTCATGGGGTGGCTGGAAAGAAATGTAGTAGGTTAGCTTGGATTAATAATTATATCATCACCACAGGTGTCAACAAGGTCAGTTTCTTTCACATTTCTCTTGATTTCTTTTTGCCTCATGATCTGAACCACGCACGACCTATCTGATTTGGATTCTTAGTTACGAGAACGTGAAATCTCATTGTACGATCCAAGAGAGCTTAGTAAAGGACCTTTAAAATCACAAACGATTGATAATTCTACGGGAGTGTTGATCCCATTAATTGATCCGAATCGATCGATGGTCTATCTTTCAGGTCGAGGTGAAACATCTGTGAGATGGTTCGAAATCAATTCTACATCTATCAATTCAAATCCTATAGAAGTACATCAAACTAGACTCGTAGATCCGATTGCTGGGATCGCCATGGCTCCGATCAATCCTTCTACGGTGGATGTGATGAAAGCTGAGATTTGTAAATTGGTGATCTTGAGTAAAAATCAACAAGTTTTACCGGTTATCATTCAAGCTCCTAAGAGACAGTATCTTGATTTTCATCTGGATGTGATGCCACCAGTTAGGAGTATGAGTAAGTGATTTGTTGACCGATCATCAGATGATCAATTTGGAATTCATTGTTCTTCCTTTTCCTTTAGCTGCAGCACAAACTTCTACTGAATGGCTGAATGGAGGAAATGCGACCATCGAGATGGTTTCGCAAGACCCAGCGGACTCTGGAACTCGATCATCCATCACGAAATCTACAGACATACCCTTGACCACCATCACTTCAAAAGCTCAACCCACACAGCCAGAGCCATTACCTGTTGCTTCGAAATCTAAACCTTTTCAACAACCTACCTCGCAAGTGTCGAGCTCTGATCAACCAGTCAGCTTACCAACTCAACCAAAGGCCTCTCAAGCAAAAGACTTGGTTCCTCCGATTTCATCATTAAATATCAGTGAACAAACCGCCAAATCATCAGTACCCAAAGCTCGTTGGTCTCGAAAATATTTAACTGGAAAGACACCCATGAAAGCCGATTACGAAGACTTACAAAACCTTTCAAGTACTTTCTCATCCGATCGAGAGATGATCAAATCCACCCCACGTTACTGTTATGTACCATTAGGTGGAGCCGGAGGAAAGTTGGGAGTGATTGAAGTTCAAAAGAAGGGTAGATTACCTACTCATCTTCCGGCTTTCTTGTCTCAAACCGATCTGGTGAGCTTTGAAGTTGATCTTTTGGTCGAAGGTAGAGTTTTTGTGGGGGGTTTGGATGGGAAGGTTAGGGTTTTTCAGGTTCCTGAGGATGGATTGAAGTCTGATATTGAAGAAGTTCAAATGATGTTATCTGGTAAAGTGATTTGATTCAAATCTATACAAATGTGTGTTTTGACTGATTTTGTTCATCTTTGAATATTCATTGCAGATCCGAAAATCGATCGAATTCATATTATCAAAGCTCATCCGATTGCCAAAGACATCATTTTCGTCATATCTGAAGATCAAGGTGAACCGACTTTACGGATCTGGGACGTAAGCTCATCTGAAAGCTCATCAGAACCTATAATGAAGTTTAAGATTCCATGTCAAAGGGTTTCATCAGCGAATTGGTCAAATGGATCAATGATTGCGATTTGTGATAAAGATTCAGGTTTGTATGTGATTGATCCAAGGAAAAGTCAACGGGATGGGAAAGAAGAATGGTGTGTTGGTAAAACTCATGATGCTTGTCAGAAATCTAATCAACTTTCTTGGATTGATTCACAAAAGTATTTATTGACTACTGGATTTAATTCATTATCGATGAGAGAATTGAAAGTGTATAGAGTAGAGTTTGAAAAGAAATTGGTTTTGGAAATTAATCGAATTAGTTTCGAGACCGTTTCTCTTTCTCCTTCGTTTGTGTTTTTCGATCAAGATCTCTCGGTGATCTTTTGTTGGAGTAAAGGAGAAAGAAGTTTGAATTTAATTGAAGTGATCATCAACGAAGAAACGGAAGAAGAAGCAACGGAAGAGATTAAGTTGGAAAAGTTAATGGGATTCTCACATTCTAGTCTTCAACTTGGGTTTAGCTTTTTTCCAAAACAAATCATGAATGTGAAGGAAATCGAAGTAGATCGTGCTTTGAGGTTGACTCAGAATTCGATTGAGGTGGTCAGCTTTATGGTTCCTAGGAATCGGACTGAATTCTTTCAGGATGATATATTTATTGATACTTTGGACGTTTTGGAAGCTACTTTTTGGAATGCAAAAGAATGGATCGAAGGAAAGGAAAAGGAAGAAAAGGAAGGAAGGGAAGGGAAGATGGTCGGGTTGAAGCCTGAGGGGATGAAGTGTGTTAGTGAAATGAAGATGGAATCGGTTGGGAAAAGTAAACAACGTGAATTGGTACGTAGATATCTTACTCTTTCGTCCAAAAAGTTGTTTTACACCAAAAAAACCCATCAAGATGTAAACTGATTTCGTGTTTTTTTTTGCATATATACGTAGATTAAAACTGAACCTTTTTTAACTGATTCACAAAAACAAGAAAAGTATTTAAATGATTTGTTTCAATCTGCTAAAGGAAATCATCAAGACAAAGAAAAAGAGGATCAAGAGGAAGAAGAAGAAGAGGAAGAGGTTATTGGAAAGAGTAGGGTAGGTGCACCGGTTGATGATGATGATTGGTAAGAAAAAAAATGGAAAGATCCGAAAAAAATTGTAGAGAATGAGAGTGGGAATGAGAATTGAAGTGGTGGGAATGTGTGTGTGTACTTATGGAAGAAAGGTTGTTTGGATTTTTTGGGGGATGTGTAGGACATAATGTGTTTTGTTTTTGTTGTTGTAAAAGGGTATAATGATGATGATGATGATGATGATGATGATGATGATGATGATGATTCTATTTTTTGAAAGTCTGATGAAACAAAAGAAGATACATATTAGTGTTAAGTAAATGGATGATTTTTTTACTAAAATGATTAGCTTTTGGGAGAAAGATGTTGAAAAAAACAGGTGAGGTGACTTGTGAGGTTGTGATGTATGTTGAGTTTGGTTTAGACTTTAGAGAGGTGGGTTGGGTTGGGTTGGGTTACAACTTACGACACATGGGTAAGTAGGATTTATATATGGAATGAATGAGCCCACTTTAGCTTTTTCGTGATTCTCTCACTACTAAAATAGACTTTTCAAAAGATATGTTTGAAATTTTGTAAGGTGTAAGGGTTCAAGAGATCAAGAGATTGGACAGGTTGGAAAGGTTGGAAAGGTTTGTGAAGAAAGATTGGTTGGATATGTTTTAGAATTTATAATGATTCATAAGATTTTGATTAGGATAAATTGATTTCAATGAAAAGAGAAGAGGAAATATGAATTGAGAAAAGACAAAAGAGAAAAAGATTTAATAAAAACAAGATTTCAAAGATTTCGAAAAAATAAAAAAGATGATTTGAAAGAAAAAGTGTTGAATAAAGACATCTTTTTTCAAAAAAAAAACGACATCTTCAAGAGATAGAGACTCGACTCAGACTTAGAGGATGTAAGGAGTGATTTGAAAAGAGTGATTTGAGAAGAGTTACTTATATAAAAAATGAGATTTAAAAAACATCATAAAACATATACCTTATACTTAAAGTGTGTGATCAAGAAGATGAGTCAAAGAAACCGACTCTTGAGATTTCTTTCTCATTATTACTCTCATGAAGTGTGATGCTACTGAAACAGATCAAGTGAAGAAATTGATTTAATTTCAATATGTATCAAGAAAAATCAAGATAAGTTTTAATAAGAGTTACATAAAAGAAGTCAGTAAGAACAAGATTCTTCATTTTTTAAACTGACATAGAGCATAAAGAGATGAACAATTTTTTGTGTACAACATATGATTAAGATATGATAAGATAAGATTATAGGGCGGTTACAATTCTTGAATTTGAATGTTAGACTGAAGGTCAGATGAAAAAGATCAGGCAAAGAGGAAAACAAATCGGTAGGAATTGAAAAAGTTTACATACATAAACTGGTTTTTTGAAGTTTATTCAGTTTGATTCTTCATGTTTATATGAATCATTATCTTTCTTGGAATCAGATTCGTCATGTTTATAAGAATCATAATCGTTCTTGGAGTTGGAGTTGGAGTTGTCGTACTTGGATGAATCGTAATCTTTCTTGGAGTCTGATTTTTTATACTTATAAGAGTCATAATTGTTCTTGGACTTTGACTTGGAGTTGTCGTATTTAGATGAATCATAATGTTTCTTGGAGTCTGATTCTTGATGCTTGTAGGAATCATCGGTCTTGGACTTGGAGTTGTCGTATTTAGATGAATCATAATGTTTCTTGGAGTCTGATTTTTCATACTTGTAGGAATCATCGGTCTTGGACTTGAAGTTGTCGTATTTAGATGAATCATAATTGTTCTTGGAGGTGGACTTGGAGTTGTCGTATTTAGATGAATCATAATCTTTCTTGGAGTCTGATTTTGTATACTTATAAGAATCATAATCGTTCTTGGACTTGGAGTTGTCGTATTTAGATGAATCATAATCGGAGTCTGATTTTTTGTATTTGTAAGAATCGTCGTTCTTGGACTTGGAGTTGTCGTACTTGGATGAATCATAATTGTTCTTGGAGTCTGATTTTTTGTGTTTGTAGGAGTCATCGGTCTTGGACTTGGAGTTGTCGTATTTAGATGGATAATAATCTTTCTTGGAATCTGATTTTTCATGTTTATAAGAATCATTGTTTTTGGAGTTGGACTTGGAGTTGTCGTACTTGGATGAATCATAATTGTGCTTGGAGTCTGATTTTTTGTGTTTATAAGAATCATGATCGTTCTTGGACTTGGAGTCGTCGTATTTAGATGAATCATAATGTTTCTTGGAATCTGATTTTTTGTATTCGTAAGAATCATAATCGTCCTTCGACTTTGACTTGGAGTTGTCGTATTTAGATGGATAATAATCTTTCTTGGAATCTGATTTTTCATGTTTATAAGAAGCGTAGTTGTCCTTAGACTTGGAGTTGTTGTCTTTAGATGGATGATGATCTTTCTTGGAGTCTGCTTTTTTGTACTTATAGGAATCATAGTTGTCCTTGGACTTGGAGTTGTCGTATTTAGATGAATCATAGTCTTTCTTGGAATCTGATTTTTCATAATTATAAGAATCATAGTCGTCCTTGGACTGATTTTTCAGATTTATGAAGTAAGTGAAGTGTGAAGTAAAAAGAACCAATTGTTCAAGTTGAATCAATTAGTAAGATTATCACACAACCTATCCACAATCAGAGTCAGAAGCTTACCTTTCCATAATTATCTCGAGGAATGATACTAGGATTTCCCAACATCGATCCAAGAGTACGCTCAACTGATCTAGGTCTATTACATAAAGAAATATAAGTTTGTCAGAAGGGTTTGATAGGAAATCATTGTACGGATAGTGTCAAATGACTCACACTTTGCTAATATCCATGGGCACGGCCATAACTCCTTGATGAATTTGCAAAACTATTTTAAAAAAAGATAATAGTGAAAGATAATCAGTACTCCACTTAAGAGGTTTCGCAAATGGATTGAATTCCGGAACACAGTTTTAAAAAAACAACTCACGCAAAAACATAGCAAGCACAAAGGTAAACATGTGTTTAAATGACATCTTGGTAAGATTAAAGGATTTTGGTTCGTTGGATTTGGGTGATTGGAGCTTAGGTACTGTATTGATTCAAGAAGGAAGATATTAGTGAAAGGAACTGGGAAAAGTCTCGTTGATGATGAAAAGATAAATAATCAATAAATCGAAATATTTTAAAAAGAAGAAAGGTACCTGAGATATAATTCTCTTCACTTAAATTAGGATGAATGATGATGATGAGGGAAGTTGAACCAACACCAAGAACCATTCAAGCTTTTATATCCTTCTGACCATGGCTTAAACTTTTGAAGTAACTTGCGAGTGTGTGTCATTGACCATGATCAACCTCATCCGTGATTTTGCAATATTGAAGTTCTTACAGACAGATCTTCAGAGACGTGATTTGTAAAATGAAGATTCAGGGTGCATACCTCGCAGTGCACTATAGCTGTGCTGTTGCAGAACTGTCAAACTTGATGTTTGTCCAAGCAAAAAGAGAAAAGAAAGATAGAATTGGTCAACTTCAATTGAAGATCATCTTTTCGATCTTTAGTATATGTCAAAGATGATGGATCTTGGTCAACTCACCATTGAAAATCGTGGGTTTTACAAAATGTCTTATAAAAGGAATGGAAGAAAGTTTAGAAAAACACATCTTTGAGTCAAACAGGACTTGAGCGTCCTCGTGAGTAAACTCTTGAGATGTCCTTCCTCGTAGTCACGCCCGCTGTGAGGCAAAACTATTCTACGTGACCTGTGAGCAGCTGTGACTGCAGTTGGTTAGTATAACAAGAGTAAAAGTCAAATCGACTAAACTGTCTTGTCACAAGAATTCAATAGCTTTGATGATTGATCCTCCACGCAGGAAGATCGATCAGCCTTGGCGCACCAGAAACTGATTTTCGTCACTTGTTCCTTATGAGCCGTTGGATATGTACTCATGTTTTGGGTCCACGTGGCTCGTTGGCTTGATGACTTTGCTGTGATCCATCAAGGACACAAATCAAGAACTTGATTTTATGTAAATCGATCCTCAAGATGTCTTTTGAAAGATTGGTTTACTTTCAATCTTTGTTGTACCTTCCAAGAATGGTTCGACCTGTTCACTGTTGAGCAGCTCAAACACAAGAGAAAGTGACTAGCATTCTTGATCAAGGTGGCTTGGTATTTTTGATCAAGATGGCTTACTACAATATCCCTCATGTTGCTCTCTATAAACTTTGCGGCTTTCCAAATTTCCTTGTTTATTGGATACATTGCGCGTAATCGCTTGAATGAATTGTTTAGCTTTGTGTAAAGAGATGTATATCATATTGCATTAAAAAAGACACAAGATAGAAAAAAAAGAACTTTCAACTTGGTTCTGAAGAAGATCATTGATAAACCAGAAGATACTAAATAAGTTTCTAAATAGAGAATTTACAATCATCAATGAGTGACACCTAAAGCAGTTCCTTTTCGAGAGTTCATCACTCTATCATCAGGACTAGAATTCAAAAACGCATCAGATCTAACAGGTTGATAAAACCTTTGAGAACTAGCGATCATAAAACATCTCAATGAATTCAAAGGTGGTTCAAAAGGTGGTAAAGTATTCGAAAAATCTGAAGGTGATAAATATAAACTAGTAGTAGTAGTAGTAGTAGTAGTAGGAAACGAAAAAGGTTCAAAGAGAAGAGGTTCAGGTGTTTCGATTCGAGCTGATGAGTTTGGAAGATTCACATTCGGATTCGGATTCGACTCATTCGTTGTGGATGGTATTGATGGTGTGGTACTGAGTTTATTGAGGGTAGAGGATTGTCCGGCTTGAATGCGCATTTGAAGCTTTGAAAGCTTCTTTTGACCTTGAGGAGCTGCCATGGATGTTGTTGGTCGAACTTGAAGTGGATGGATGCTGAATCAAAGTCGTAATTATGTGATTGATGATTAGCCGGAGTCAAGTCCTCTTTCTTCGTAGGATGATGTTCGTGCAGGGTCTCACCTCCTTTGCCAATCTTTCGTGAATGTTCAATCGCTATTCTTAAGCTGGGTTGGAATATGATTGAGAAATTGGAATCCCACTCCAAAATAGCCAGCGACTCGGCGAGACTCTCTTGTCTGGATCTGTGCGGCGTGCCCTTTTGCTGCACCCTGAGTGAGAGACACGTGACTCAGAACAGATGACCCGCTCAACCCTGATTGGATTTATACCCGTTGGCAACTTTGTCAATGTAATAAAACACCTCACGTGTATGCAAAGCATTGATCATCACCTTGATCACGCAGTTGTGAAGAATAAAACTTGCTTATAAAATTGCAAAAAAAAGTAAAGCTTGCCAATTCAACAAATACAAAGGGAAAAAAAACTTCTAATCCATCATACACAACTTTCTACATATGTAACTTGAAAAAATGACTGTACAACACATTAACAAAAAAAAGATCAAACTAATTAAAAACATTCACCAAAAACGCTTGCAAACTTTTTTTCTCCTTCTTCTCTTGTACTTCATTTATCTGATCAATATGTACTCTTTAATTTTACTTTAAAAGATTGATATCATACATGAAACTTCCATTTGTGATTGACTAATAAAAAAAACACACACACTCAAACATATTTTTTACTGCAAAGATTAAACAACTAATACTGCACACAAACAAAAAAAAATCATCACAAAAAAAAAATCCATCTTCTTTCACATTCACATTCTTACCATCTCTTTCAATTTCATCTTGTCCATTCATGATTTAGGAGAAGAAGGTGGGTTTTGAGAACTAAACCTTTTTAATAATTCACTAGCTCCAAACGAACCAGGCATCACTTCACTCTCTTTTCGTTTTCTCCATGTTCCAAAAAACGAACCAGACAATCCACCAGTATTGCCACCATTGTTAGCCACACCAATCGAAGTCGTAGGTGATCCTGCTATCTGTCCACCTTGTTGTATAAATTGTCCACTCCCTCCCATACTACTGTTACTCAGACTACTACTACTATTCCTATTGACGTTAAAGGGTATTCCTCCTTGGTTAGATCCAGAAACACTCACTCTTCTGTTGGCTAAATCTTTTGCTCCGACTACATTGGTAGGACCGATTGCCAAAGGACTAGGTTTATCACTGGATAGAACAACAGATGGTCGAATATCATTGTCTTTAGGACTCGAGCCCACGTTCTTTTCAGACGACACTAATGTGGTTGAGACTGTTGTGAAACCTTTACTAGATGGCGAGGCAGGCTGTAGGAGTTTCTTGATCGCTGGACTGATGTGAGACGAAGAAGCAATCGATGAAGCTCGGCTGTTGGATCGTGAAGCAGTATGCGCCTTGGGAACAGGTCTAAGCCGAGGTTTCAAGGGAACTGGCATTGTTGACGAGAGGTTCGTTCTTCGAGATTGAGACGAAGCCACAGACAGATTGGTAAGGAAGGCAGGTCGAGCAGATTCAGAAGGTTTGAATGCACTGGGAGTTTGAAGATCGTCCAATGTCTGATCTTCGGGAATGGCTTCCGATACTGGGATCAAACTTGTCTGAAGGGGAACCGATGCGTGACTTAGTGGTGACTTTGAATAGCTTTTGGCTAAGCTTAAGGACAGAGCCGATGGTCCTGTTCTACGAGATGGTGGGCTACTGGCAGTTGTGCGAACGGAAGAAACAAATGGCGAGTCTCCTGGAATCTCATTTGCTGGTGGCGAAGGCGGAGTGTCGATGACAGTAAATTCAGATTGAGTCAGATCCAATGGTATTTCAACTCGATGAGGATTTGAGTGTGAGGGAGCAGAGATTGATGTCTTCTCCTCGGGTGACGTGTTAACAAGTGCCGGTGTAGTTGACGGTGGCGATTGTCGGCTCTCGCGATTGAAAGTGGGTCCACCGGTGCTGTGACGTTTACCACCCGAGGTGCTGATCTGAAGTGCCATCTGAGATGGTAAAGTAGCAGATCTACTGGGTGAATGCTTTGTGACCGAACTAGGTTGACCTAATCCAAGTGAAGATTGAGTTATCTTTCGAGGGTTTTTTTCAACACTCCAAGGTTCAACTTCCAAAAGAAAATATCGAGTTCCAGCTGAGAGAGCATATGGGTTGGTATCGGGATCCTGTAGAGCATAAAAAAGATCTCAGATAAAGGGTTGGGAAAGATGCAAGAAAAGTAATATACCTTTGGGTCCACCATCTTTTCCGTCAGCGAGATGATACGCGCAACAAGCCATTCTCTAGATTTGATGATGGGCGCAACCGCATCATTTGCTTGTAAGAAATAATGTGGAAAACTGACATTGAAAGCCGCCCATACTTGAGCTGTTGGATTCCGTGTGGGTAAGAATAGTGCCAAGTCTCCCTTTGCGAAACTGTGTGATGGGGTATCAAGAAGTCATTATCAAGATGCTTAGCAGATGCCGTGAGATTCTCTGCTATAACAAGGCACTCACTCTCTGAAAGTTATTCTGACATTTGCCAATTCCTGAGAGCTTTTGGCTCGTTCTCGGTATCCCTTGCTTTCCTTCATCCATTTCCTTACAGTAAGTGACAGGTAATCAAGCTTGTTCTGCACCAGTTCAACGATAGCTTCAGGATCACGTTGTGCCAACTTGTCAATAAAGGTACCGAACTCAGGTGACGATGGATCAGGTATCGAGGAATCATCTGTCGCTGGTTTGGCAACAACAACGGAGTTACTTGAATCTTGTGCCGGTACAGCGGATTCACCCAAAGCTGTAGAAGTTGCAAGTACAGCCTTGTGAGTTGAGCCAGGACGGGGCATCGATTCGATTCGGTCAACGATTTTGCTGTTGACTAGGTGATAACTCTGTAGTATAGAAACCGCGGCTCGACAATGAGTTTCCAAGCGCATAGTGGCTTCTCGAGTGTCCTCCGTAAGTTGTCGTTGCACCTTTGCATGATCTTCAGCCCGAAGTTGGGATTCACGGTCCATTTCTTCAATGCGTAACTTCTGTTGTTGGATGGTGTCATTAGCATCGTGATTGCTCTTCTGCTGTTCCATCAGGTCCGACTTCAACTGATCGATCTCGTTTTGCATCTCTAGCCGAATACGTTCCGCCTCTGAAAGTCGATCATCCATCGATCGTACACTGCTATCTACACGCTCTGTAAGATCTCTGTTGCTGTCGAGAGCTTGACTGAGTTGACTTTCCAATTCGGCTACTCGGTCTTGAGAGCCTTGAAGTTGATTCAACACGTGGCTGTGATCCGAGAGCTGATCTCGATGACGAGCTTCTAGATCGTGTAACTCCTTTGTTGCATCGTCAGCAGTAGCCCGAGCAGAGATTAGTTGACGTTCAGCATCTTGCAACGATTTGCTTCGGGTCTTCAGTTCTTCCTCCAACCTTTCAACCGCCGGCCTTAACCTCTGGACGTCAGCTAACAAACTCTCACGTTCTTGAGTCGATGTGAGAGTATCGTGTGCTAATCGTTCGCATTCTTCTCGGTGCTCTTCTTTGGATTGTAGCAATTGTAATTTGAGATCTTCAATCTTCTGTGAATGCAATTTGAGATCCGATTGAAATTTGCGAGTAGAATTTTCGGATGAAACCTTTTCTTGCTCTGCTTGTTGACGTAGATCCTCATTGATAGCTTTCAACTCTGTTACTTCTGACTCTAAACGCTTTGTCAATTCGTTGTCTACCGGGCAAGATGATGTGCTTAGTTGACTTTCGGTGACAACTAAAAGGATGGAGGAGGAGCATCAATATCGCGTCCTTGAGCAAAATGGGTGAGCCCATAAAACTGAGATGTACCGATTCTCTCCACTGCTTGTGCAAACGCGTTCTCCATACTCTCCAAACGACTAAATTGCTTTTCTACCAAGAGTCGGACGTCGCGAGCAGGTGCTCTGGCCAGCTGAAGATCATTATCCTGTTCCTTCTCAGGACTTTCCTCGATGCTCCGTAAGCTACTGATGAGATCTACATGTCCATACAAAAAACCTAATGAGCAATCAAATCACATCTTCATGCGCTTTAGACAAAATGGCATACCATCAACGTCTGCTCTGGTCAGTGGAGGCAGATCCCCTACATTCTGTACGCTTCGACTTGAATCCTTGGGCCTAGCTCCATTGATAGCTGCGCTGTTGACATTCCGAAACTCGAACTCAATCGTTGGGACATTGATATCATCCAAACCTTCAACAGTAAATGGCATCTTGCCTCCGTAGTCCGCACGATAGGTGACCCTGCGTTTACGCTCATCAGCGGTCAGTTTTGAAAGCGCGTTGGATAATGCAGAGGCATAATCAACGAGGTGGCGTGCTACCGACCGTAGAAGTGTCAATATTTGCTTCAGTGAATTGATAGACATGGTAAGCTTACAGAATTCTCGTCTCCTCACAACCTCGACAACTGTTGAGGCGTATGAAGTGACAAAGTCTTTAAGCCTAGCAAGGTGTTTGAAAGCATCGGTGCGCGTGCTTAATTCGTTGTCTAGAGCTTGTACATCACTACCTATACAAGACATGATACCTTGCAACACCGATATCCTGTTGAGCGAATGTACAAGATGGTGCAGCCAAAAGTTCTACGAGGTCCTCATTAGTTTGGTGCAAAGATGATACCAGCTTGGGGATGGATTCTTACTTTGCGCTCCGCTAAAAAGGCTACCCTCTCTCGCGTGTCATCATCGAGAATGACAAGCTCAGTGAAAGATTCCGCCAGCACCTCTGCTTCTGCCTCTGTGACCTGTAGAATCTGGTGGACGACCTCTTCGATTCGCTGAAATCCCTCTTCAGCATCCCTCTCAAGCACATCCAATTCAGTCAAGTCACAGTCCGGTTCGCAAAGTCCATTACGAATCGCCATCGCACCTTCGTCCACTTCTCTTGACGAGTCTCTGATGCGTTCGAACCTCTTACAAAGATCATCTGATGAAAACAAGTCAGACATCATGTGCGCAAAAAGTCGGCTCATTACCCTCAAAAGAAGAAAGCTCACCATAGACTTTCAAGCACCTGTCCCGGATTTGCGTAATGCGATCTTCCATCACATAATCGCCCATGCACTTCAATTTCGCTGTTACAGGTGTTCCACTACTACCAACAGCGCTGCCAGAAGAAGTTGTACGACTGAGCGTACTATTCGAAAGGAGTTGAGGGTGAATCTTCACCAGTCGTGAGAGTGCTAGAGCAGGTGCGTATGCTTCAAGAAGTTTCCCGTATCCTTCAACCAGAGGCTGAGCAAAGGTCTCGAATGCTTCCCATGCACCTTTAGGTGATTCTCTACATTTGTCAAGATTGTTTAAAGCAGCTTCAACAGCAGATTTCTGAGCTCGAATGTGCGATAGAAGTAATAGGGTTGTACGAAAGTGAGCTGAACCGGAGGTGTGGTGTGCTTTGGCTAGAGTTGTGTAATTTCCAATCTCTGTATCAAGATTTGAATTGAATTGACGAATTGGAGGTTCTAGGGCTTCTTCTACATGAAACAAAAGTTCTTCCAAGACTTTATTTGGATCTGCTGAGAGGTAATTCCTATCGAAAGCATAGAGAAGATGAGTTGGATCCTGTAGGGTTCTTGGATGTGGTATTAATGCAGTAGAAGAGGATGGCATAGGATTGATTGGAGATGAAGTTGGAGATCGATGTGTATCTAGAATTGGACGGAGAAGGGTATCGGTCAATTGAGATCCAAGTGAGTTCATTAGGATTAAGTCGTCGGCGTCTAGATCCATCGCTGGTCCAAGTATATCTAGAAGCGCAGATAGCCTGTGTGTGATAGCATTTTTCAACACCTAACATCAAGCAAAGTAGGGTTTCTGAAGAGATGGTCTTTGGGGTAGGGGAAAGCTTCTTTAGCTTGTTTAAAAAAATGAAAGACATTCTTACCTATCTACATTTTGAAGATGTTGTTTGGTAAATTCGAATGTCACGCCATCGTGAGCTCTAATGACTCTCATCTTGATGATTTATTGAAAACTCGAAATATGCTTGCTGATAGAGTAAAGTTGAGAAAAGAAATCTTGCTTGATAATTAAAAGTTGAAGAAAAGAAACGGTTCGTTTAGCATTCGTACAAATAGGCCAATGAAGTTATAGTTCTTGTTGGATATGTAGCAAAGGGAAGTTATTGAGAATACGATGAGTAGTTGATGAAGGTAGTGATCAAGAAATCAAATTTAAACATTCTCAGTAACAATCCTCAGTTTTCAGTATAAGCATATTCAGTCACTAAGTATTACTTAACTGCACCCTAGCATTCGATGCCAAGCTCATTGAAAGTTTGATTTCGGGATAAGCCAACCTGAAGTTGAACCCACATGATCATTGATCATCAATCCAATGAACCTCGAATTACATATTCTCGTACCTGTCCTTACTTGAGAACTCTTGAGCAGTCAGAGCTCAACTTCCAGCCCAGTCATCTGCCTCATCACCCCTATTGAACAACAATCCATTCATCACTCACAAAGCTTTACATACTCTCGATCTGACTGGCTCGTATGCTGTGCTGTTTCAGATCAAAGGAACTTCACTCAGCCTCTTGAGCCTCTTAGTAATCTGTTGAGATCTAAACCCACGCGAAAGAGAATCACACAGTGGACTTAGTCTTGACGGTCGACGATCGCTAGAGCTCCCGATACCCCCTCTTCTTATCTCTCTCCAAGATGATCAAGTTGAAAAGCCACATTGTGATATACATTCATACGATCAGACTATAGCGTGAGTGCGATCAGAATCAAATCCTCAAATGTCTCTGGACCTTCAATCGCGTAGAGATTGAACAGGATTGAACCCCATAAGATGTGTCGATTTCCGAAAAACACATTGTGCACGTTCATCAAAGTAAGCTATAATCTACATTTCACAAGAGAGTGACCAAGAGTATGAATGAGACTTCTCATGGGATCATCTGATCTTGGCTATTACATTTTCAGAGCTGAGCAATCAGAAGTACTGGAATCACCAAACAACAAACATGAAAGGAATGATATCCCTAAAGTTAGATGTCAGGCTGTAAATCCCGATATAGGCCGTACTGGCAGACTGCCGTACTGGCAGACTGTTGATCACTTTCGACAGACAGAAATCAGTACCCGGTACAACACCATAACCAGTCACATCATACATGGTATGATGGTTTTAAATTGTAGAGCATGACTTCCTTTAACAATAGATTTACAAATGACACTGAAGAATTAGACATCCACAAAGGTAAAAAAGCTTACAAATCAAGTTACGATTTAGAAAGGAGACGTGTTTTCTGTATGTATCCAGGTAATTTTGTAATTCTAGTTTCGTCAAACTAGTTATGTATGACATTTTTGAATTGAGTAATGATGATGACAATTCAGGGATGGGGATATATCCAAATAACAAGATGACGAAGATGAGTCAAAAATGAAATAATAGACAGAACATACGATGTGATTGAACAAAAAGGCGATTGCTTCCAGAACGGTCAAAGGGACCTCTACTCTGACATGGGCTGTTAGGACATGATTGTAGTACAAACTCTACTTCAAGATCTTCGATGCGGCAGGGGTTTTGATGAGGTCGACAGTGTTGGTGACCTAGATCTATATATACACTTTGATCTCGACCTTAAGTTCTTCCAAAACACTCCTTTTTCATCATGTCCGACTCCCACCCTACAATCTTCGTGATCTGATGCGTTTTGGTCTACTTCGATCAAATCTCGCATCCTTTTAGTTTTTACCGATCGGGGGCTGTACTCTTGTAACTCATGTTCTTCACCACTTTTTTGTTCGTTTAAACAAACACTTCCAAGTGCACATTCTAATTCAGAAGCACTAGAGTATTTGTTTAATCTTCGGCGAATCGGTTTTGGGGGACAAGAGCGAGACACTGCGTTTGTTTCTTTTTCTACCTCAGCAAAAGCAAAAGAGGTGAACAATGACATCGCAGTGATACTGGGAGCCGGTCGAATTTGACGAGGTGATTTCGAGTCTTTGGATCGATCTCTTCGTTTGGCATTAGGCGAAGATGATCGACGCGGGTGAGGGTAATAGAGATTAGGTTCGCGTGCGCCAAGTGGTGCATCAGGACATCTATCTGTTCTAGGCGTCACTGGGGTCGTACAACGAGAGGGAACGCGATCGGGTGAAGTGCCAAAGAGTGACATGATATAACGCCGACTGATGATAGCTTGGGAATTCCCGTGATTATCTATCTGCCGAGATAGGCACTCGGTTATCCGAAACTGTGGAGAGGACAGATATGGATGTGTGTATGCGTATTAGTGAAATCCTTATCAAGCTGCTTATCGGTCAACTTTGCACCAGTTGCGATAAGCTACAACCCGCTACATCGCGAAACAAGAATGTTGGATGTACTCACTATGCAGTTAAGTATATACGATCGCTATGGATGCGCTGACCGCCGGTAGGGTAGATGTATGCGTCACGAGACCGAATTTCGCGGCGGAAGTTACCCGTTATGCAGGTTGACGAGAAAAAGGTACAAAAGTGGAATATATTGATCAATTGCGGATGGTGGAGAAGTCCGTCAGGAGGATATGGTGTCCGATCTTATGGCCACCCAGCGAAAGACTTCTGGCGTGAAAATCGGATCAAGGATAATAAACAAGATAATTGTTCCGCAGTGCTTGTGAAGATTGCGTATGGAATGTGATCTAAATATATGTGCGCCGATAACCCTTTTTGGAAGAAAATTGAGGGTCGCAAAAGGATGTGATAGAAGTATAATGAGTTATTAGCAGCCCGATGAATTTGGAAGGCAAGTTGAAGTCGATTATATATAAAGTTTCTTCAGCCCCCAAACCCTGATCCAACGATGTCGAGAGTCAAAGGGTGAGTCTAGTAAAAGATATGCCACTTGTATAGTTTGAGCTGCAAACGATATATTAACCCTGTGTAAAATAAGAGGCGTTGGCTCCGGATTGCGACTTCAGAGTTCTAAAAATATAAGACTCACTTTATCAACGATCGATAGGAAATTTCAGAGTGTCTGGTTCGATATGTTAGGAGTCGAAGGGGCTCTAATCGATGCGGGTGTGCAAGGAGAGCAAGCGATCCAGTTAAGTAAGGAAATCGGAATGAACTTTGAAATCAAGGGAGACCAGTTAATGTGGTTTAAAGTACAATTCATCGGCTCCGTTCAGTTCCGGTTCATGTGGTCTTCTGCAAGCAAATCGAAAGGGACCACGCTTGATTTGAAAGGGGAAGTCTGCGATAGTAAAGTCATGTTCATGGATAATTTTATTTGGTCACTACAACCTATGAGTCATCAAAGGGAACTCCAAACCTTGGTATTCATATGTGGGAAAAATTGTGTAACCCCTAACCCATGAAGACATCAACAAAAGATGAATGTATACAACCTCAAAAATCAGGAGACACGGAAACAAAACTGAGATGACGATGGTACATAAATTCTTGCCAACCATGCACGCAACCCTGTAGGCTGAGCCATTCTAGGCTAGAAACCATATCTTCAGAAATCGGAGTACGTAGCGAACTTGAGAAATTGTTTCATGTGTTTGCCCGATATCCATCAGGTCACTTTGTTTTTGCATTCATTTTACCTGCTTGAACTAGATATCCAATATTCAATATTCAATATCGATTTTCTAAGTCTCACTCGATTTGAATGCAGCAAGTTGCAATCAACTTCAGCCGAATTAGATACGTGATGCTTGTCCCCATGGAATTAAAGCTGTGATCTGTCTTTCATGAAATACTAGACACATGCGGAGCTTGACACGTATATCGACGAAGCTCTGGTACTTGTGCAAGTCCTGAGAAGGAATCTGATCAGAACTGGATCCAGAAGACACAAAGGACAACAAGTTTAAAATAAGATCGAGAGAAAGTCTTTGATAGGGACCAGATTGTGGTACTATACATTTTTGTGTTTGTCAGAAAAGAGATAACCACTTTGACTTACCTGGTTTTCCAGGCACCTTGTTATGAGGGGAATTGGATTGAATAAATTAGGTAGCGCATATAGGATTTCAGCACCATAGAATGCAGCTGGCGTGATATAGAGACCAATGAAGATGATGAAAACCTCCAAGAAGATTGAAAGGATAACATGATGATATACGTTGGTAGAGACCAGATTTGATAGACAGTGACTTGTGCTTTGGTAGGACGATTGATACTGATTCAGCAAGTTATAGAATACGAGGAGATCTTTGAACAAGAAAGCTTACGAATTTAACAGCTGAACGGATTCCAAGGACGAATGCTAGCTTGAGTGATGATATTTATTAATTTGACAAAAAACTAACCTCCACATGATGGGTTTTTATACCTCAACAATTCCAATAACAGCGCACGTGATGGGTAAGCATAATATAGCCTGCACCCTGCAGCGCTCGCATGGTTGTTTGAATAGACAAGAATTTGGTCAAAGTGGGGTTGATGACTTCTAAGAAGAACAAAACCTCTATTTGATACTTCTCCTTTGCGGCCAAGATCTGGTTCGAAGTTGAAATGTGCCCCAGCCAAATGCCAAGAGTGACAGAGTCAGACTTGCATGAAAATGTTGATGAAATGCATTTTACAACATCACATAGATTGGGGCGGGTTGAAACAACTTGTATTTACGATCCCCAAGAACAAGCAAATTGTCAAATGTTAGAACCTGGATCAGATATCACCGGCATCTTCCTTCAAGCACTCGACTTTGTAGAACACCATAAACTCGCAGTAAGTTCTATCCATATACATATTCAATCCCCAAAAAGAATCCGATCGTAAATCATAATTGATGATGAATGTCTACAGATCTTTGCACATCTCGTTATACTAGCCATCTTCACTGTTTATTCAATCACACCCACCTCAAGCTCATCTCAGATTCAAGGAAAGAAGAAACCAAAGATGTCTGGTATTGCTAGTACTGATGCTAAATCTACTGAACCTATCGTATCACTTAATCCTCCTAAAGATGATCCATTCACTTTACAAGAATTGTCTCAATATGATGGTACCGATCCTTCGAAGCCGATCTACGTAGCTATCAAAGGTACACAAGTTGCTTGGGATTTATCATTTCTCTTTTTCTCAAGAAACAACAAGACTTATTGATGTGTTACTCAACACTTTTTGCTCGTTCAGGGATTGTTTTTGACGTTTCTAGTAAAGCTGAGATGTACGGACCATCTGGTAGCTATCGGATCTTTGCTGGTAAAGACGGTAGTAAAGGCTTAGGTCTCAGCAGTCTCAAAGCTGAAGATGCTATTGCCGATTACTCATCACTTGGTCCATCTGAAATGAAAGTATTAGATGATTGGGTTACTTTGTATGTTTTTGATTTGATTCGTCACCTCAGATGTGTTAAGCTTCTGAAAAAAGCTTTATTTTAATGTCTGATAACTAATGATGGCGTTATGTTCCTATGAATCTTTAAATCCGACAGTTTCAAAAAACGTTACAATATTGTTGGTCGAGTAACTCAAACATCAAACCTATAATACTATCATCGTACCTCAAAACAATTTATTTCGCTATTTTCAAACAAACAGCTTTGTATTCAATTACTCAACCACGATCTCCAGAATGTATATCCTAACTTTCTTTCATCTACGAATTATCCTTTGTTATCCTGAAATGATTAGATAGCAAAGTGAACAAGATGTTACAACACTTTTTCTGACCAGAATGACTTATCTTGGTCAATTCAAACTATCGACATAATATGTTTCCATTGTAGCTTCGATTGTCTGGTACTATTCGACTTGCTTCTTCGTCGCGTATATGTGCACAGTATCCAAGGGGCCGCACATCATGAATGTGCGAGGTGCACAATGACGTGCGTGCTTTATGAGTCCACAGAATGCCGATCTCAAGGATGGTCAAAAAGATTAATTGATCTGCCATCATGATCAACGATCACTTGTTTTCATCTCATGTGTTTCTTCTTCTTGATCATCTACTCAGAGATCTCAGATCAGAGTGATAGTTTGAGTTTTGCGGTCTCATGACTTAAGTTCTTGCCGGTGTTCTTATGTAAGTTTGTAAACGTGGCTTATTGAAACTTCAATCTTTTTTCAAGTTTTCTGATCTTTACCTCATCTGAATCTCTCTATACTAAATCACTCATGTAATGAAACAACACCGCTCTTCACGGCAATCGGTTATCAGCATGTCGAATCGGAAAGATCTATCATCAGTTTCTGGGCAAAATAATTTGACTACTGTCCTTTTTGGTCAGATCAAACATCACACCTGATGAACAAACGATCATGGAGGGATGCGGAGGTGTTGAAAGTCATCAATTGAGAGATATCCATTATGATATCAAAATCCAAAACAAGAGCACAAACCAAATTAAATTATCTTTGAAAAAACCTTTCAGTCGTTCTTTTTTCATAACTTCTGAAGGATATATCCGCTGAGCAGCTTGCTTCGTACTATTAAAGCTTGGTCGATTATAATTTTTTTTTCAAATCCGACATCTTCATTTCAATAAACACTGGACTTTGCAGAGAACCACAAATTAGCAGCAAGCCATTTCCTCCACCTTTCAGACTAAAAAACATACAATGAGGGAATTCGATTGAAGATGGATTCCTCAATGTGTTTGCACGTCTCCTTTTACTAACATTCTTGACTGATTAATTAATCATACCGACCCCAATTTGATTTCAGACTCAAGGGAAGGAAAATTAGGGATCTTCGAATCAAATACGTGTTTTATTTAGGTAAAAACGAAATCTTCAAAATCCAATCCACATTGATACCCATTCATGAATGGTGTAAAGATTATGTGGATGGTATTTCTCAGCAGACAATTTGAGATGAAGGTGATACTGAAGAATTTGTAATTGAATGTGGAAGGAATGTGTCTTTCAAACACAACAGATCAACTTCAAGTGCCTTACTTATTTTTACAATATCTGATATATGATACACCACAAGAGAAATTTTGAACTGAAGACGATGTTGAGGTGGATGGAAAAGTTACACAAGATAGATGATAGATACATGATAAAAAACAAAGATGGCTTTTGTAGAGTTTGATGGAATACTCTAATTCTCGAAGGGTGCCTCGCAAGCTGGGTTCCCTGGAGAAGAGCTTACGAGAAAAAAACACCTGACTGTCATACTTAGTTAAGGTAGAGCACAATCTCCACAAGCTATTAGAGACAATGGATCAAGGGAAACTGAGGTTAGAGAATGAACAAATGGGTTTGGTATTATAAATAACGAAAAAGAAGGATAACTCACTGATGAAAGGTACGTTCAAGACTGAATAAGGGCATTGATAACTTTGACCACCTGAGTTTGTACATTCTATAGAGCGAAAACAAAGGAATCACAAGTTTGTTCATAAAGATTGAGCTTTGATTGAACAATGAACATGATCAGATATCTGACTGACCGTAATGTCCGCTTTTACCAGGCTTGTATCCTGAACATTGTTGTTCACTTTGACCGCCTGCACCGTTGTGTAAACAACCCTTCATTGGAGCGAATTGTCGACCTAGGTGGAGAAATGAAATTTTGATATCAGTTTGAAGGGTTATTAGACTTTGAAATGTAGATATCAAATAAAAGAAGAACATTATTTACCATTATTACTACATGATGAAGTGAAGCAGGTGTATTTTGTAGCATAGTCATCCTCGCAAACTTTTTTTTTCGGAAAACCAAGAATCAATTAGAATGTAATTCGGAGTTGGAATTGAAAGGGAAAGATGTCTCTTACTTGATGTGCGTGCGGGTCTTTGTGATCTATAGCTGGTTTTACAATTAGCTGCGTCTGCATTAGAAAATGCGAATTGGGTGATAGAGATACCGATGAAGATAATAAAAAAATTGGGAGATTGGAAGGATAACATTTTGGTATGCAACAATAGAGACAAGATTGAATAGATTTGTGGTTTGATGGAACGAGTAGTACTGATTTAATAACGCAAATTGGAAGTGAGGAAAGTTATCAATGAGTACGCTTATGAATACAAAGAGCTAGATGGATCGGATCAGGTATGGTCAAATGATAGCTTTAGTGATAAAACGTATCGATGTAATGATTGATGTCGGCTACAGACCTCAACAACATCGAGTTTCTATACATGAAGAAGAAGAAGAATTAAACATTTTTCCTTGAGCTCAGCATCAGTATTGCTGCCACTCTGGGCGTTTCAAATGCAAGTTCAACTCGGCAAACGTAACTTGGGGGCTCAGAGCTTGCGACTAGAATTGTGTGATTATTGAGTATGGCCCTGGGGCATCCTGATCTTTAATGGAGCTTGACTAGGCAACCTCGCCGACTTTCCTGAGTCTTTCAGTGAAAACATTGATAACAAGAACCAGGTCTTCGGCGCCCAGCCGTCACATAGCTTGGGATGTGCCATAGCACAAGCTTGCAACTTACAGCCACATGCATACATGCATTATTTGAGTATTGTTGGACCCCATGGGCTATACACAGTCAGCACTTCTGGGTCCATCAGCTTTACCAATCAAATTCTTTTGTTTTGCTTGAATTTCAGTCCCTCTTTGTGACAAATCAGCACAACCTGCCTAACAGTCCACATTTTTTGTTGTATTGTGGGTGCAAGACCCTTGGCATGCATCTTGTCATGTTGTTTGCACAATTATTTGTGTAACTTAAGGGATCTTGTTGTGTTTTCCTGCAATGCAACATTGTAAAAAACCTCAGAAAGTATGCTTTGACAGGTTTGATGTCAGTACTAATGTGTTTTTCTGTGACTGTGGCACAATTATGGGATACAAAGTAGACTCCAGGCATGTGCCTGGCCTTGTGTCCGTAATCATTTTGGCTGTAAATTTTGATTTCCTGGGCAAAGGCCCGGACACGGGATTCAAATCTACAGCCAAGAGAATTCAGAGCACAAGGCTGGGCATGTGCCTGGATTCTACTTTGTACCCCCTAAATGAAGCTGCACATGCTTTGTGATATACCATTGTGTTAAGTTGAAACAAAATTGAATTTGTTGCATAGTGCCTGTTGTGTTGGTGGAACTCCGCTGCCATATCACAATACTTGAATTGCAGACTTCAGCTAATGGGACCCCCCTATGTGGTGTCTACCTCTGTCATCTTAAGCTTGCACTTGCAAGACCTTTTTTGGCATGACACTTTCACGTTCTGAAGCCTGAAGGCACCAGTAAGACATCTATGTGCTTTCCATGTGTTGATGTGCTATTTGCCTCAGCGCAGCCCTGGGGAATTTCTTTGTTGTATCTTGGAACACACAGTACTATTGTGACTTTGGGTACCACCAATCATACACTCAGAGCACACATGGTACTGACTGTTCATGCTCATCATCCAATTTATGAGAAATTGTCCAAGGTGTTTGCACATCTCCTTATACTGGAATTCTTGACTGTTTGATTAATCACACTGACCCCAGTTTCATCTCAGACTCAAGGAAAGAAAAATTGGCAATCTTCAAATCAAAAATGTGTTTTAGATAAAAATGAAATCATAAAAATCCAATCCCCATCAATATTGTGGATGGTGTAAATATTATATAGATAAAAGACCCCAGAAGACGATTTAAGATGAAGATAATACTGAAAGAGTTGTAATCAAATATGCAAGGAACATGTCTTTCAAACACATCAGATCAAGTGTCTTGCTTAGTTTTACAATAACTGATATATGATACAGAGCAAGAGACATTTTGAACTGAAGATGATGTTGAGGGGGATGGAAAATTTACACAAGATAGATGATGGAATACCTGATAAGAAAGAAAGATGGCTTTTACCTAAGTAGAGTTTGAAGGGATACAACAATCGTAACTTGACCTAACTGTAATTCTTGCAGAGTGCCTTGGGTTCCCTGGAGAAGAGCTTGCGAGAAAAAATTGCCTGACTGTAAGACTTAGTTAAGGTAGATAACAATCTCCACAAGCTATTAGAGTTGATGGATAAAGGGGGACCAAGGTTAGATGATGAAGAGATGGGTTTGGTATTATAAATGATGAAAAAGAAAGATCACTTACTGATGAAAGGTACATTCAAGAGTGAATAAGGGCATTGGTAAGTTTGACCACCTGAGTTTGTACATTCTATAAAGTGAAAACAAAAAAAATCACAAGTTTGGTCAGAAAGATTGAGCTTTGATCAAACAATGAACATGATCAAATATCTGACTGACCGTAATGTCCGTCTTTACCAGGCTTGTATCCTGAACATTGTTGTTCACTTTGACCGCCTGCACCGTTGTGTAAACAGCCCTTCATTGGAACAAATTGTCGACCTAGGTAGATGGTTGTAATTTGATAGCAGTTTAAAGGCTTATCAGACTTTAGAACACAGATATCAATAGAAGAAGATCATTATTCACCACTGTTATCACATGTTGTAGTGACGCAGGCGTATTTTCTAGCGTAATCATCCTCGCAGACTTTTTCCGGAAAACCAAGAATCAATTAGAATGTAATTCGGAGTTGGAATGGTGTTTCTGTTTAAAGGGAGAGATTTATCTTACCAGATGTGAGTGAGGGTCTTTGTGATTGATAACTTGTTTTACATCTAGCTATGTCTGCATTGGAAAATGCGAATTGTGTGATACAGATGCCGATGAAGACGATGAAAAGTTTGGGGGATTGGAAGGATAACATTTTGATATGCAACAATAGAGACAAAGTCGAAAAGATTTGTGAAT